GTGTTATAGACAGACCTGTATAAGTGGTGAAGATAGGCACAATAGTCTAGACAGGTACAAGTAAATATAGACAGGTAAAAGTGATATAGACAGACCTGTATAAGTGGTGAAGACAGGCACAATAGTCTAGACAGGTACGTCAAGTAAATGTAGACAGTTAAAAGTGATATAGACAGACCTGTTGAAGTGGTGTAGACAGGCACAATAGTCTAGACAGGTACAAGTAAATATAGACAGGTAAAAGTGTTATAGACAGACCTATATAAGTGGTGAAAACAGGCAAAATAGTCTAGACAGGTACAAGTAAATATAGACAGGTAAAAGTGTTATAGACAGACCTGTTTAATCGGTGTAGACAGGCACAATAGTCTAGACAGGTACAAGTAAATATAGACAGGTAAAAGTGTTATAGACAGACCTGTATAAGTGGTGAAGATAGGCACAATAGTCTAGACAGGTACAAGTAAATATAGACAGGTAAAAGTGATATAGACAGACCTGTATAAGAGGTGAAGACAGGCACAATAGTCTAGACAGGTATGTCAAGTAAATGTAGACAGGTAAAAGTGATATAGACAGACCTGTTGAAGTGGTGTAGACAGGCATAATAGTCTAGACAGGTACAAGTAAATATAGACAGGTAAAAGTGTTATAGACAGACCTGTATAAGTGGTGAAAACAGGTACAATAGTCTAGACAGGTACAAGTAAATATAGACAAGTATAAGTGGTATGGACAGACATAAGGAACAGCTATTAAAGGTATAGACAGGCGTAAGTGGTATACATATGTACTATGCAGTAGGCAGTCGCAGGAAGACAATATGAAAAGATATAATGATTAATCTTTTTTGGTAACATTGTTTAACATTTGCTGATCGCCTTTGTCTATTGAAGGTGTTGATTAAGTACAAAAAAGATTTTAAAACATACATGCAGTTAAAGAATATTATGCAGAGAGTTAGCAAGATTCCAGTTCCCTTAGGCCAGGACTCTTTTCCAAGGCAACATGGAGGGAAATAGTGCTAGTCTAGGGGAACTGGAATCTTCCCAACTTCCTCAATGATGTACATTTTACCTGTTTTATTATCCTGATACAAAAGTAAACTCTTGAAGATAATGGATAACCAGGAATTAGATTTATTCACTTGACTAATGCACTGCAAAGCAGGAATTAGTCCATGTACAGGGACTTCTAGGTAATAATTCACATCTAATGATTTAATTTTATATAGGGAAAATCAGTAGAGGTATAATAAATGAAATTTATGGATCGTAAAGAAGTCACTATACTATCAGAGATTAAACTGACCTATTTCTTACTGGCTTGTCCACTTGAGAAACTGTGTTCATGAGGGTTTTTTTTGTGAGTTACTGCATATTAATATAAAGCTCTATCCTTATTTTGCATTTTGAATTCAGATTAAGTATTTGTACTCAAGAGTTAGTTGGACCCCAAACAATTTAAGTCATGTTTTAGCCTGTATATTGGGCAGGTGTAAGCAGTTTAGGTCACATGACCTAAGTAGAGGACAAGCTGGTCACTTCCCATCAGTATGTCACTATTCATAGATAATTTGCCCTTATTTATACCATGTTTAAGAGAATTTGTTGATTTTTATGATTTTTTACCACTATAAAGGAGAGGTATATTAAACTGAGTTATATATCTCCTACCGCTTGTGAAAGTGGAAAAAGTAGTTGTGATTTGCACCTGGGTTTAATAATAATGTACAGGTTCTTACAATGCATACCTACACAATTTGTGTCACTTTTCATACATCACCCTGCCTTCCTCTTTGCCAGTTGATTTTCGTAGTTAGAGGTGTGCAAGTGATGATCACTCAGACATTAAACCTACAGAAATGTTGTCTGTCCTACGGCTGGCCTTTATCCCAGATATTCAGTGAGGGAAACAACCTCCATCGCAGCAGAAATACCTGAGATTTGTACATGTACTGACAGCCCAGGATTAGTATGAACTTGTTTGATGTTAATGTTGATGGTATTCTGCTTAGATGATAAAACATGATACATGCAACTTTACACAACCTTTACACCCTCTCCCAAGAGATCTCTATCTCTTATCTTGTATATTTCTTCACAGGGATCATGTCATAATATCGACCCAAAAAAATTATATTGATGTAAAATTGATAAAGAAATGGAAGCAGATAATGGTATTTGTAGTACATGTATTAACTTACAAAATAATAATCTCCCAAATTAGCACTAAGCTGGAATAGTATTTGGGATGATCCACCTTGATGATCAATCAGGGACTTGTGTCAAGTATGTCAAGTAGCTATTACTTTGTCATAAATTAATAAAGAGGTAAACAAGACCGTGTGTACAGTCACAGATAAGTAATGCATAGGCTTATTTTGTCATGAACCAATCAACCATGTCTAAAAGAAAAAAAAATAATGTTCAGCAAATAGATAATAATGTGTGACCAAGAAGTAGGGTTCACTATGTAAAGAATGTTATATGTTATATTTCAAGATTTTTATCATAAATTTTCTTACTCACAGGTTTAGATTTCATAAAAATTCATGTGTGCCTGATGAGGCAATTTAGACAGTTTTAAATGGTGAAGTTATCTCCCATTTTTGAATATTTTCATGTTGTTAGTGTAAACTTTTGTAATACTTTTTGTTTAGATTATGTGTCATGTAAAGACTGAGATTCATACTGATATAAAATTCAAAAAATCAACCATCAAAGGCCTTTGCAAAAGTCTAAATTTAGAAATTACAAAATATTTGTAATATTAACCTATTGTAGAGAGTTTCAGTGTCCCAGAATTCTAGACTTTAATGTAACACTAAGACACATATTGTTTCTAGATATGTATTAAACTGTCTTATTAAGCATCAACAGGAATATAATTCGATATGTGTAAAACATGTTAAAATTAATTTTTAAAAAGAATTATTTGAAAGGTCACTTGAATAAAATACACCTGTTTGATTATAAGAATCATTTATTTAAATACATGTGTCTGTGAATATTTAAGACTAAATTTTGCTAATGAGATTCATGAACTTTAACTGGTCTGATGTTATTCTCCTTAATGACAAAGTAACGTGTAAAAATGACACTCGCAGTGAAAAATGGTGTATATATTTTTTTGTTTTTAATTTTTAAGAATTATAGTATATGTGTCTGCTACTTTATTTTATAATAGCAGTGAAAGATATTGATATAAGGCAGAGAGATGTTTCCTCATTTTGTTTAATGAGGGTGTAAGACTTCGGTGGCCTGTCTTGTTTTTTTTTTTTTTATCAAAGATGACTACAGGTTCTGGACTGATTAAAAGTTGTTCAGACATAGTCATGTACTTGTGTAGAATTATGTACAAATTATATTTACATATTGATGTGCTACAAGGCACCGAAGACGGTTATAAGTAATCCAGAACTTGATTGGGATAATTTGTTGTGATAAAAAAGAACTTGTAACAGATGGAGAGTTGTGAGCAGGTGATGGGGTAGACAACCTGTCACTGAATACACAGGTACAGGTGTTAGACAAATTACCTCAATTACCCCACAACAAAGAGCAAGACTTTTCCTACCATGTCTTAAATGTTACCCGTCATTAAAGTCCACAGACAGTTTTTATTGCAATATATAACCTTTTTATGGTGATTTTAAATTTTTGTTAATATTTTTTATTGTATTTTAAAATCCTTTCCTTGGATCTGAAACTATTACTATTAATAAATACATCAAAGCAGTTAAAATGATAAAAGTGTCTTGATATTTCTAACGTTACCACATTATATGATCAGGAAAGTCTGGATTAAAGCAGACAGACATTGTAATTATATGTGTACATGCCAAGGTCTTATCAATCATTTCTTAAGCATCTTATTAATTTATCCTAATCAGGGGTAGACAAATAGAATTTTGCAGTACTTGCCCTCGGACAGGTAACCATCGTAAAATTACTTGTCCTACCCAAAAATATGCTTGCCCCACCTTTTCTTAATTAACACAAAATTTGAGCATCATCGTTAGTGTTAATTTGTTTCTCAATTTATACACTACATGGGGACCAAACTTGACCCAAAATCACTTAATTCTTCCTCGGAAAAATCTAGGGGTAATTCTTGTTCCATTGAGATTTCTTAGCTTGTGCAGTGTGCACACATGTACATAATTTAGACATTTTTCTCTGTACTACTTTAACATAAAGAGAAAAAAATTGAAGACGTCAAATCATTTGATGATTTCTAATTGTAAGGCATATGGATATCGAGCATTAGAATTTTAGTGCATATTGTCAACATACAATTTCTCATCTGAAAAAAAGTTATTTCATACCCTGCATAATATGCATACATGATCACAGTTCATTATTTTAGTAGTAAAATTTTACATTTAAGATTCAGATTTCTTTCCGTATTTTCGAGGTATTAGTAAAGTCAAAGTTTCAATCTATTTTCTTCAAAATAGTTTCATGAAATATTCCCTTTTTTTTTTTAAATTTAAGAATAATGTGTATTTATCTGATTGAAAACAAAAAATATTATACGATATTTGATTATGAAAACCACCACTGCATGCCGATCGTGACTTTATGTGATCGCCCATCAATAGCTCCAATTAAAACGTTTGTATTCACGGTATGAATTTTACATTATGACAATACCTAAAAAGGTCTAAAATCCTCTTCAGCTTTTGTGACATGAAATTGATAGTTGCTTTGTTTTACGTCTTGACACATGAATGGGTAAATTCTAGAGGAGTTCCGACCGAGTATTCAATGTACTTTGGTCAACAGCAGCGAAAACAGGTGCTCTCCTGTGATTCATTACATTTCGACAGCGGTAAAACAAACAACATTTGATTTTTTGTTACCTGGAGAAGCACTTGCCCGCGGGCAGGTACCACTTATCAAATAACTTGCCCGCCAAACAAAATTGGTTGTCCCGGGCGTCGGGCAATGCTATTTGTCTACCCCTGCTAATGTATCATGATTTTTTTTTAACAGGCTTGGTCTCCTATCAGTAGTGACCTAATCACACCACTTCTGTAGGTAAGGGGGACAATCAGCTGTCGCCTCCCCCAGTGACTCCCCTTATCTAATTCCCTCAACAGACTTGATAACTACCTTTGGTAAGCTTTTGAATCTTTGGAAGTAACTTTGGACTTTGAGATAAAGATGTACAATTTATAGAACAATGAACGGCAGAGAATTTAATGGTAATCTATGCCACAAGATAAAGTGTCTTGGTGTGAGAGTAGAGGTATGGGGGATGGGACGTTTTTTTTTTTTTTATGAGGGCACCCTCTGTCTTGCGTTTCAGTACAGTCCAGTGAGCAAAGGGCACTGATAAATTCACCTTCCTGCAAATTTGTGTAGGGAGTTGATATATTTGCTTTTAATATGTGATGTGATTATAGCATGTTGCTGACCTCTACAGTCAAGGTTTGAAAGCATTGACATAGAATGGGTTCACAAATGTACTTTGTAAATATATAACACATTCATGTACAAAAATACTTGCTATGCATTTCATTCACAAGCAGATGAAATACTATAAGTAGATGGTTAACTGACATTTCATGCCTTTGTAAGCAGATTATAAATAAGAGACTTATTATAGATAGGAAGTTTTATATTAGTTAACAGTAGTTATGTTTATTCTGGACCTTGATAAAAACAACTAAATTTAGCATTTCAAGTTATAAACAGCATAAAAATGACTGATGACACAGCTTGTTTCAGCTTCTGTTAAGCCGTATCACAGCAGTGATAGAAGAGAGGGAAAAAATCTTAATCACACAGAAAAAAAATCACATTGATTATATTCATGAGCATGCAGAGTCTGTTGTACACTGAAGTATGACCAGGACAAGTAATCTAGGCAGAATTCCATTATTGTGACCTTAATTAGTATCTTGGTGTGTTGCATATTGTGACCTAGAACATGTGGAGAAACACAGCAGTAGTGTTGTGACCCACTCTCATGCCAGGTTCTATAATCAGTATGTACATGATGTAGTACTCAGTGTCTCCAGTTCCTGAGTATGGCAGCTTGTATGTGGGCATTGATCATTATCCAAGGCTCACTACTCCACACTCCTATGACTACACTCCTTTTCTATGTTGAGTCCTGTATTTTGTAGCAGATGTCATAGAGTAATTCATACACTGTCAGCTGTTACCACTGGTGGCATGGATCTGTCCCCACACAGACAGTGCTTTTTCCAAGTGATGTAAACCCCAGCGTATATATTTTGAATTTAATATGAAGATGTCATTATATTGAGAAGCTGCTTGATAATTATTATTTTCTACCACTTATGAATTTTGCATCCATATATTAAATTTTATTTGAGAGCAAATATTCATTTTTCATAAGGAATTGTTGAGACTTGAATTGACTGTGGACCACTTAACTATATAATGTCTGATTTTTATATGAAACCTCTTTGTGTAAACTTTGATAGTTGATGTTGAATTAAGTTTATTATATATTGCATAAGGAAGAAAAATTAAGGTTGGAATACCAAATATCTCGGCCTGTTAGACAAGTCTCATCAAGGTGACTCAGTGGCATTGACCTTTGAGATAGAACAAGGTCATGACAGAATAAGGTCATGGCACACTGCCAAACAAAGAGTAGCTACTGTGTGAGGTGTCATCATTTTCAATGGTAGTTTACTAAATGCTCAGCTGTGATGTTGACCTTGAGTGTGTTTTGTCACCTTGAGTTTTGTGACCTTGTTTGTTGTGATATAACCTTGAACAGTCTTGACTTAATGCCTTAATGAAAAACAGTTGTTGTGAGAAATTTTAAGTCACTTCCATTTGTAGGTGAAGGAATGAATGAATTTGCTGGACAGCTAGGTCTTTTTATGTTTGGGTTGGTATTATGACACATCCCAGAAAAAAAAATGCATGAAATATCAGGACACTTTCTTCTTCCCTTTGGCTTGAAGGATATGGTCGGGACAAAATATTTAGATCAACCCTGCAATGACCTTGACTTTTGAGATAGACCTTGAATCAGTCAGGAAACACAATCTGAAGAAATACAAGTAATTTGATATGTAGTATGTTGTATAAGTTGACTACATGCTACACAAACATTTGCAAAAATGATGAATGGGAGAGGATTATGACTTTTAGGAAGAATGCATAATCTTTATTATGCTTAATATATATATTAGAAAATGCATGGAATAAGCATTGTTAAGTAATATTACATTAATATCATACATCACTTTCTGAAAATGGGGGGAGGGGGGCTGTTAATATATGTTACAATTTACATTAGGTAGTAGAGCATTTACTAGGACAATGGATCCTCTAACTTAAAGACATACTAGTAGTGAGAGTATGTATATATAAGGATTGCTACTCCCTTATTAAAGGGAAGGGACTCCGCTGGGGACTAATGTACCCAGTACTTATTCCGTAATGTCATTTAACAGTAGTTTTCATTATGAGAATTCAGTAAATATTAAGTTAAGGTCTTGAGAAAAGTTTATTTAAATGTGTACGTCAAGTATGTATATATAGTGAATGATTGTTATATAAATAGTGGAGGTCAGTAAAGTAAAATTATTGACATGGTAGATAAATAAACAAATTTTAAGTGTTATAATCAATACAAAGTTCAGAGTTGTACTATAGAAAGGACTCTAACCATTATTATTTACCTAGTAAATCATGATAGTATGCTATGTATAATATCTATAAGTAGACAGTATCATGCAACAGACAGATCAGCTTCAGGAAATTTGCAGAGTGCGTGTGAGATGCATGAACTTTTTGTATTCACTTCATACATAAGTCTCAATAGAGGCATCTTCTTGAAGGCTTATGATGATTAGGAATATAAGGGAACAAATCTTTAAAAATCTTCCTCTCAAGAACAGCAAAGGCATAATAGTCATATTGATGTGGAAGCATCCTCAGGTAGATCTCAGGTTTGTTCAGATCATGACCCCCAGGAGTTGGGTAGGTTCATAATGGGTGATCAAAGTTTTACATAGAAATATTTGGGAAAAAATCTTTAAAAATTGTCTTCTCAAGAACAGCAAGGCTATGATAAGTCATATTAATATGGAAGAATCCTTAGGTAGTGTAGATTCAAGATTGTTCATGTCATGACCCCCAAGGGTAGGGTGGAGCCACAGTAGGAATCAGAATCAGAAGTAATATTGATATGGAAGCATCCTCAGGTAATGTAGATTCAAGTTTCTTGAAATCAAGACCCCTTGGAGTAGGATGGGGCCACATTTGGGGATCAAAGTTTTACATAGGAATATATGGGAAAAAAATCTTAATAAATCTTCCTCTCAAGAATGCCAAATATATGATTCTCATATTGATATGGAAGCATCCTCAGGTAGTGTAGATTCAAGTTTGTTCTAATCATGACCCCCCAGAGTAGAGTTGAGTCACAATGGGGGATCAAAATTTTGCATAGGAATATATTTAACAAAAAAAAAAACTTCTACTCAACAACAGCAAAGTCATGATTAGTCATATTGATATGGAGCCTCCTCCGGTAGTGTAGATGCAAGATTGTTCAAATCATGACCCCAGGCCGAAGTTAGGGGTAGAGCCACAATGGGAATCAAATTTTAAAGAGGAATATATAGTCAAAAAATCTTCTCAAGAACAGAAAAGCCATGATTAATCATAGTGATATAGAAGCATCCTCAGATAGTGTAGACTCATTGTTTTTCCCAAATCATGGCTCCCAAGGGTAGGATGGGGCCACAATAAGGGATCAAAGTTTTACATAGTAAAGAAATGTATATTTTGAAAAACTTCTCAAGAACAGCAAAGCCATGATTAGTCATATTGATATGGAGCATCCTCAGGTATTGTAGATTCCAAGTTTGTTCAAAGCACAACCCCTGGGGATAGGTTGGGGTCACAATGGGTGATCAAAGTTTTACATAGAAATATACAATAGAAAAAAATCTGCTGGTGAAGAACAGAAGGGCTGTATCAAGTCAGGTGAGTGTTGTGGCCCATGGGCCTCTTGTTATTGGTTTGGACCGAAGTTGAAAGTTTTGCATTTAATTAATGAGTGAGTTGTTTGTGTGGATTGGTAATTAGATTATTTCTTAATGGAACTTGTGTTCTATGACTTCAAAAGCAGGTGTTGTTGGTGTCCCCCCCCCCCCCCCCCCAATCATTTTTTGTATTTAACAGGAAGACACTACAAAAAATATCTTATAATGCTGAAAAATTGACTTGTCTTACCATCAAAGAATTGAGTCTTTTGGATTACCATCAATGAATTGAGTCTTTTGGAATACAGTATAGAGTGGTACAATTTATATGATTTTATTTCTATCCACTTTTAAAAGATAATGGTAAGCATTCCTTTTTTAGTAATCAGAAGTACATGTATTTTAAAAAGTGTTAGTTCCCAATAATTTCAGTGTGAATTAAATCCCATGCAGTCAATGTTGGCACATTGCATATTTATATTTGGCACTATGTGGAAGAATCTGACATGTTTTGTCAGCCCAGTACATGCAGTATGGTTAATATGTCTGCTAGTAGAGGGAAATGAGTGAGTCCATGGTATGAGTGAGTTCATCTTTGTTGTAAGGGACGTGCATGGGGAACAAATGATTTAACATCATTCTCTTTTTATAAACCACAATCAACATCAATCTATATTCCTCAGAAATAAATGATGATTTTGGAATCATATATATTTGTTGTGGTATGTAAAACTTGTTCATATATTAGACAAAAGTTAAATTTGATCCTCAAGAAAGGATCAAGGGGAGAGAAGGAGTTTGGGTAAACACTCGACAACGAGTGCTCCCCTAAAATTAAGAAAGTCTTGATTAAATGCATGTCATTTACTTTGCCAACTTTAAGAATTTTAAAGTTTTGGACCTGTTCCTAAGTCAAAATATATATGAAGGAACATGGCTTCCTTGAGATAAAAATTTGTTGAAACACCCCCTTCCCCCCTCCCCCATTTTCCCCCATATGTTTTCTTGTGTAGGAACGTCTTATTTTATACCCTTGATTATTACAGACTATGCATACTAGAAATATATGGGTAAATGTATTCTGTGAAATATCTTAACATGTGTAACATCTTGTCAGAGAGTCTGATTTAATCTAGAAATGCTTCATTAAACATGACAATAAATTCAACAGCTTGGACCCTTATTTCAGATATTGAAATGTAGAAAATCCCCTGCATTTACACCTCCTTATAGACTTGAATAAACACTAGTTAGATGCAAAACAATATTCCATAATCATATTTTACACCTTGATTCACAAAATCTAGCATAGCTGGGTGACTTTTTGGTTTAATCTGACTTTGATATTTAATCAGATTTCATGGAAAGACTGGGTACCAAATTAAAGTCTCTGCACCCTCTCCAACTCAGGTTGGGATTTGCGATTAAGGCTACTTGTGGTTCACTGGGTCGAGAGAAAGTGATAGTATCACAAAATTATGAAGCATTCATCTTTTTAACCCAGTTTGAGACTGGGGATTACCATCATCAATTCATTGGGATAAACTGTGTCTTGGAGTCAATGTACATATAATGGTCATAAAACCAAGACCTGTCACATATGGTAGCCCTTGTATGTCTGGAATGAGGTCAGCTTCAGTGTATAGGTGAAAAACTGTCCTAGAAGATCTACTATCAATCTTTTATCTTAGGTTCTTTGCTTCAATTATTGCATCCATGGTTAAACACTATTTTACTGACCACTACCGAAATATCAATTAATTTTGTCAATCATCATTTTCCTTAAATTTCCCCAGAATTTGCAATGTTATGGGTGCAATATATTTTAAAGACTTAGATTTCTAGAGCATTAGTATTATATTCTACATATTAATATTTATTCAACTTAGTATCACAGGTATATGATACTGGTGTAGCTTTTGTGTCGGGCATGGGCATATGAATGGTATTCTTAAATTTGACCTATTTGCACTTGAGAGCTCTGGATAAGAGATACCTTTTGACTCTTGGAAGTAATAAGATATTGAACTTGTCAGGTTAAAATTAAGTAAATGTGCCAGATCAAAAATTAATTCTATAAATATATGTTAAATATTCATGTGTTGGAAGCTGGTTACATTAATTTAGTTGAATAAAGCTATCAGTGGCCAGTATATATGCAAATTTCCCTATTTAAGCATTGCTTGTTGCAACAGGAATTGTGAAATTTTCTCAGTTGATTCTTTTGCATCTTGATGCTTATGAGTCATGTATTCTGCCCTTGAAGTAAATGTCAATCTTCTATGTGTCCAGTGATGGTATGTGTCCATTATGTATCAGTGGCTTAGTGGATTCCAACCTTAATAATACCTCTCAAGGTGTGTGTATTTCATCAGGCTTAAATTAGATCTTTCTTGTCATTTACATGTTAAACACCCCCTGTTGTTTGGGGGTTTGTGCCACAAAGAATTATTTCTGCTGCCTTTATCTTCTTGGTTGCTTGTTCTGAATCTGTTGCACCCTAGTAATGGTCCAAGGTGATGGTTTCTGTCGGGATTTGAGCAATGTAACACAGTGTCTTTCTCCTCTTTGCTATGCATTGACTCTTGGTCTCCAAGTTGGTTTTAATTGGCAGTTGGCATATAATCCAGCAATTGTTTTCATTAGATAAGCAATTCATTGTCAGAACACAAGACACATGCCAGTCTCTTTATTCTTTTGAGAATTGGTACTTCTTTAACAGATGTGCGTTTTAGTCAATTTCTATGGATAAAAGTAAAATTAAGTTACTGTTTCTTAATTAAAGTCTCATCTGTAATGAAGAGATATTAATGGAGGATAAATGTTGAATTATTGCTGTACAATCTTGTAAACAGGCAGATTGTTGATGTTAAGACCCTTGGGAGATGACATGATGAGGACTTGCAGTAACTTCTTCTGATACCAATAATTATAACCAAATGCTACATACACATACCTTGATATATCATTGAATTTCCTCTCAGACTTTCATTTTAGTTCAGATTGAGATTGGTTGGAAATTTTGTCCTATGGTTGATGTTACTCTAAAAATTTCCTATTGTAGGTAATGGTTACTCCATTATTGTGCTAGAAATGTATCTCTTTTCATCGTTATTTTTATGTTTTAGTGTATATACTTTTATGTTTCTCTCACTTTTCAGGTAAAGGAAAGAGCAGATGGAAGTACCAAGGATCTTTCATCAAAGACCCATTGCTACAGATCTCTGAAAATTTCATTATCCTTGTCTCTTACTGGATTTATGAATGGATATTGCAAATTTGCTGCCACAGATAGGAAATCTGGTTTTCATTTGAGACTAAGAGGTGTGGGAATATGGTGGGATCGCCAAACTTTCACACTGATTTTGGAGCATTATTTTACAGATTTGAGCCATTGCACTGACATTCCTTTATTAACATAGTTTTAAGAAAAAATTCTTTGAAATTAAACTTATTTTCGCAGGCATTTCTTTATTTCCTGTGCCTTTTGTCATGGGGTTAGTCAGGGGGAGGATTAATACTGATAAAAACTCCCTGATAAAAACTCCCAAGGAGTGACTGAAGTGTTCACTTGTCATTGTAATCCCAAGACTTTATATTGTAAATCAATCCATTTATGCTCTGTTAAACACCCAATGCTATTAATTTCAAATTAATATTTATTGAAGCACTTTTCCACATTAAGATTATATTTGATAGTTTGAGATGACTTGCTTCACTTAAGATGTCAGGAGTATTTTTCATTTGATGTACAGTTGTGTATTTCACTGTCATTAACCTCAAAATATTCAAGTTGAGAAACTTAGGTACGTGGAATAAGATCAACTTTTTATGTACCATATGAATGGAATGTAGTAATTCAAATTTAATTTTTAGGATTAAGTTTTAAGCAAATTTATTCACTCGCAAGTCATGGAAAAAACTTTGATGTCTTTCAAACAATATTATTGATGATAACGGCATATTTATCAAGGTGATTTTTGAAAACGTCAAGTTTGCTAATAGATAAGTAGTCTTTGTGACCTTAAGAATTGTGTCACACAGTCTGTGAAGTAAAATTTACTGGTCAAAGACCCAATGTGATTTTTTTTCCTGGCTGGGGTACAATTCTGGTTCACTGACCCCCCAGAACTGCCTACTAGATAAGAATCATTGATCACTTGTTTCTCTAATGGTAAACTTTTAGATTCACTTCAAGGTTTTTTCTTTGTATATTTGGATGTGTATATTTAAAATGAATGAATTTGTTTTATGTTCTGATGTCCAAGTGGTTGTTTACATGAATTTGATATGAATGCACTTTATTTTTTGAGGTCATATAGAGAGAAAAAACTATCACGGAATAAATGTAAAATAGACAAATATTTTCTCTTTATTCCACAAAATTTTATTGCCAGTTATTAAGGAGCATTTTAAAAACCTGAGGTTTATTATGAAATGTTTCATCATTTGGTAGAATAAAATTCATTGGTTGCAATCCATGCTGAAAATTGTTGGAACATTTAAGGGTGATGACCCCATGGAGGGGGTATATTATATATTAAGATCAGTGATTACACTTTTATCAAATGTAAAAAATTTTGTTTATTCATCTTAGGTTTTTCTGTATTAATTTGATATCCAATAGGCTATATAAAATAATGATTGATCTTTATCACTGTGATATAGATCGATTTTTATATTGGCCAGTCATGGTGTGTCTGTATGTATGCAAATTGGAAACTACATGTAGATCAATAGGTCTTTCGTTCTCAAATACTAGGTGAATCATTGATACTGTTTGCGGAGGTCAAGGTCAAGAAAGTGTCAACAAAGAGGACACCATACAAAGAGAATGGTCATTTACTGGATAGAGAAGGTACATGTAGAGGATTAGTGAGATCAGAGCTAAAGGTTAAGCTATGGAGAAGCACCTTGATTTTTTATACTCGCAAACTTGCATCAAATACAGTCACACCTCATTATCTTGAACTCAATGGGACCAAGAAAAAACTTCAAGATATCTAGGTATTCAAGATATTGAGGGTAAAATACAGAATAAGTGGGTTTGGACTTCCAAATCACTTAAAAATATCCATGGTATTCGAGATATCAGTGTTTGAGATACCGAAGTTCTACTGTAGTTAAAAACAGAAAAAGGGTTGGTGTTAATTCAAATGTCAAGGATATGACAAAGGTTAATAAGGATTCCATAGTAAAATTACAATTTCATTTACCATAGAGGTCAAGGTCAACATTTTCAGTTGACTTGCTAAGTTGTTTGTTGTATGCATCAGTCTTACAACATCAGTATTTGGTGGACAAAAGATGAGTTGAGGAATGAATTTCACTTTGAATTGTAACAGTTTATACAAAGGGTATTGGTGTAATTGTGTGTATACTTTCAGATTGGTTGTAAAATTGAACTTTCTGGTAAAGTTGTGGTAGTATTTTTTTGGTTTACCATAAAAGAACTGACGATCTAAGAGATGTATGGCCCTTTACACAGTACCTTTATGAGATATCATAGTTTGTTTTACAGTGTTCTAAATGACATTGATGACATTCTTTTTTTTTTTTTTTATCTCAGTTTAGCCTCAAATGATGAGTGGTAGTTCAGAATCCAAAGCTAAACAATCTTTTTTTTTTCTTAAACAAACTTGTAAAAACCAGTCTTATTGATTCAAATCATAACAAAGAAATGTCAACTTAGCATGTCCATATCCCGAATACACATTCTAACAAAGGATTTACCAAATGTACACCTGTTGGTATGTCCTTACCAATGAAAACCCAGAATTCTGTCAGATGGGATGCCTTGACGCCTAGCATGATGCATCAGATTTGTGTATAACTTTTTAAAAGAAGTATATTTCACCTTTTATGTTGTATTATTTTGATTTGGTGATAAGTATAATGTAATTATGTACAATAACAACAGGTGAAGTTGATCTTGAAAGAAATTTACCTGGCAACATGCCAGCATTGTTGTTCTTTGGCACGCGTTATGCCCGTGTCCCTTAACTTTATAGATAAATTGTATATTCCTTTGTATCATTTGAATCCTCAGGATTCTGATATTTGATATGATTGAATGAAAAGTGTTTCATTGCACAGGTACCTAAATACTTTTTGGCTGTTCCCTTGTAAAGTGACTGTAGATGTGTGACATATAATTTTACTTCGAATGATTGTCACAGACAAAATTTCCAAGAGATTAAGGATTTTTGACAAAGATTAATAACCAAATCTGACATATTTCTGACAAAATGAAAGCTAAAGTTTAATAAATGTGAACAGATTGAGTCTTGAAAGTATAATTTTTGAAACAATTAGATAAATTCATTATTCATCTGTTTTAAGTAATGTTCTAGATTTTGTTAATTTAATTAAAAAAAACCCAAAAAGAACCCTACCAAATGCTCCAATATCCTCCAAAATTATTTCAATATATGAAAAAAATGCCTAGGGTTTAGAGGAGGGAGTATCCCTACCCAACCCTTCCACCCACCCCTTTTCCATAAACATTGTGATGGCCCCTAAGAGGCTAGACAGAGGGAAAATGAGGGGTATGTAGGTTATTATATGTGGGGAGAATAAATATTCCCCATTCATTCTACACGTACATGTACTGCACAAGGAGGCAACTGAGGACATGAACAGATAGTAGATAAATTTTTGTGTGCTTGTGTCTGTTATTTAACTTAAAACAATGAACTTTTTTTTTTAAATTAATTGATTTTAGGGTAGCATCATATATAAATGCAATTCTTTATTAAGTCTCAATCTCCCAATAAGTATTGAGTAATTTAAGCTCATTGTTAGGCATTCATGAATGGAACTGACTTTATCAGGACGAGTGCAAGTGGATATTTAAATTGTTGATTTTATTCCAAAAGGTTTATTATAGAAGTTCTCCTAAAGATACAAATTTTTAGAATTTGGGAAAATGTAGCTTAGATTTTGCATGTAGTTTGATGATTGACTGTATATAGTCCCCTGTTTGATGAAGTTTTGCTATGTTTTGTTTTCCTTAAACTGTTAAATATAATTTGGTCATTTCTTGGATGCAACTACGCAATTTTGAACTTTTGACATGGTTGTCGAGTAGTGAGGTATGATTCTTTATTGACTAAAAAAATGCCTTTTCTAGGTCCTTGTTGTGTCAAAGAAGTAAAATAGTTTCAACATACTTTCAAGAGTGGTACCAAAAATTGATATAGATCTTTCACACACTACGCATAGTGGAGTAGATAATGAATATACTTTTATCACTTGGTAAATATAGGAAAAAAATGCTTAAAGAGCTTTTACCCCGCCCCTTAAAGTTTTCCCGCGTCTTTCGCCGAAGAACACATTCTTCCTCCAGACGAATGTAGTTCTACTGTCTGATATACTTTTGTACTAATAAGCAACATTTTGCATCCACTCAATTCTTTTTCAATTACAATGATAGTTTTCTGTGGTTAAAATGTCCCATTTTTAAAAAATATATTTTAGATTTGTAATGCGTAAATGTGACCTTGAATGAGAGTAACCATTAGTGTATGAATATACATTATGCATAATTGTGAGACGGCTCGGTTTATGAAGGAGTCAATTCTTGGGCATAAGATCACAGTTGCCAAGGATTCAACCGATATCAATACCTGTACGTTTATTAATAGTGTTGGAATTTTAACATGTTAATTGGTAAGTTTGATATGTTTTCGAATCGTTTTATATCAAAGAACATTACTGTCAATAACTTCTCACTTGGAGTTTGTGGAACTGACTTGTTCCCCGTCAAATGTCAAAGGAGTGTGAAAATTATGTTACGTGCAAAAACTACTAAGTAAAAAAGTTTTTCATATGAAATACTGTTTACTGATGATAACCATTACTTACTACATTGTTGTATCACAATTTTTCATAATAAATATGTGTACTTCTTACTGTCATTAACATTTTAGCGAAATACTGTACCGGCATGGTATGTAGGTCACCATGTTGGCAACTCACGTGGGTTTGGCATGTGTAAAAATGTTCGACATATTTTGGCTTAGGTATCCAGAATTAAGACATGACCTTATGTCATACTTTTATACCATGCAACAATTGGTCTACGGAAGCCAATGTCCATTATCATTTTACCCTTTTCATTAAAAATTTGGACGAATTCTGGTAAGAAATTATAATGGGCGGGGCTTAAAATAACTTGGTGGTGCGTTGCCGACAAATGGCTTTGCTGTCTAAATTTATGCAGCGCACCAGCCAATGACAATCATTTAAGATTTGACATGTCCTGAATGAAATCGGTCTCACGAAATTCACGTGCATTTACTATTTTTTATGGTTTTAGGACGAAACGAGAAAAACGGAATAATGGACTACGAAACTTTCCAACCCTGCTTCTATGAAAATGAAACGGAGACCTTATCCCCAAGTTCTTTGCCAAATGAGGATATGTGGAAGAAATTCGAATTGTTACCAACTCCACCTTTGTCACCCAGACGGGATGATGAATATGACATGAATTCCCTGGATTTGGAAGATTTCAACCTTATCTTTGATGAGTTTTTTCAGAAAGAAAGTGATAATCGAAAAATCATGACGTTTTCTGAGAGTCCTCCGAATTTGAATTCAAACTTGATTCAAGATTGTATGTGGTCTGGGGATTCTGGTCGTTACCCCACTGGAGAAAATGCAGTATGTTCTGATGTCAACTCAGCAGATTGTGTAGATCCAGCAGCTGTGTTTCCCTATCCCATACATAGTTTGAACAGCATTCACAGTGAAACTAAGCTTCACAGCTTGGGAACAGAAACCCCATCTGACTCAGGTATGTTATTTTTTGCACACAGTCTTGCATTGTTCAGAAAAAAATTATTCAAATCAATGTTTCATTTTTTTCAAATCAAGATTTTTAAAAAAAACTTCGTCTTTTTCAGAAGAAGAAATTGATGTGGTGACAGTGGAGAAAAAGCAACTGCAACAAGTACCTGTGGTGTCTGCAAAGAAAACTGTTTTTACAGTGCAGAGTGTGAAAACCGAGAGAGTAGAGGGAAGTGAGGATAAATTAGGTGCTGCTAAAACAACTGTCACAGTGAAAGTGAAGGTGGACTGTCCAACTGATGAACATCCGTACAGTTTACCTGTGTCATCTCTCAAACGTGTTCGGTCTCTTCCAAATTCCCCTTCTATGTCACCATTACCATCAAAAAGGTGTAAAAGAGAATTAAGTGACAGAGACATTAAGAAAGTGTGTCATAAACTTCGGGGTAGTGGTAGTAGTAGTGCTTCTTCAAGTCGAAATTCTTCAGACTCTGAAGAATACCCTGAAGGGAAAAGGACTCAACACAATGTATTAGAACGTAAACGTAGAAATGACCTCAAATTCAGTTTTTTCAGTCTCAGGGATAGTGTGCCAGAACTAGTGAAACAGGAACGTGCACCAAAAGTTCAAATTCTCAAAAAGGCATCTGATTACATCAGAAAATTATCTGCTGATGAACGCAGACTTGAAAGTGAAAGAGAATTGCTCCAGGAAAAACATGAACAGCTCAGGAGAACTTTAGAAAAGCTTCATGCTAGAGAGTTTTAAAGCTAGGATAGCTAGACTTTTTGTGTACAAGCTAAATTTAGGGCAAGTTTGTGTTCACCTCATATAACCCAAATTGTGTTCAAAAAGACAAGGTTCAGAAATTTTATCATGGTGGCATTTCATTTGACACTGCCAGTCTGCAACTTACTTTGATGAAAATCATTGTTTTGACTGTTTTGTACATTTAATATTCAGTCTCCTGTTTTCTATAATTATACATATATATATATATATACTTTCTTTATACTGCCTGTAGAAAGTAGTTGTACACGGAATTTCTTTTGTTGATGATTTTAAGTTTTTGTTAGCTTGAGTTAAATGTTATGTCTTTGTACTATTTTGCACAAAGATTTGTCTTGAAAAACCCTAAATAATGACTTGTTGAAATTTGAAAATTTTATTGTAAAATACATTTCTGTATATGTTTCACTGTCTGCAAGAAGCAGTGTTGTGGTTTATGAGTCTTTGTTTGGTTAATGCTATTACCTTTTTTATCTGTATAGTTTTGTTACATGATATTGTTTGATATAATTGTATAATGAAATGTTCTAAAGCTTCATTAATCTAATGAAAATTGATAAATGACTATACCGAAATCTGCATTTCAAGTATTGTGAAAATAAAGCTGGTTGTATTTCTTGTCATATGTTTCATAGAAATACTACCTATTGCTCATGTTGAGATATGTGTGTTTTTTGCTGTGCAATGTTAAAATATGTATGTCCTAACGTGTCCATTTCTTATTCTGTAGAAACCATATATTTTGCATAAAGTTTTCATATATGTTTCCTTGCAGTGATATTAGTGCTGTAACCATCAGATTGGCTTTCATCTCTGTATTATGCATCATGCACATATCTACAACTTTGCTTTGTATAATTTTCACCTCATTCAACATAATAAATTTTAAATACCTTTGAGTTTCATTTTGTATTATTTATGAGGATGCAATCGCTTGCATTACATAAAGAAATATGGAAGGTATTGAGAGGATTATAATTAAAATGGATTGGAGATTGCAGTTATATATTAAGTTACTAGTGCGCTTGTATGTGAAGAACATTAGCAACTCTTATTTGTGTTTAAAAGTTGTCCTTGGGACAGTTAAAGCAAAAGTTGACAGTAACTTGGCACTGTAAGACAGGCCTTTCAAAATCTGCTGGTACTTTTACATGGCTGATACCATGATTGTACTGGCCAAAATGTTTGATGGAAAAAAATTTTATAACATTTTTAATTAAAATTGCTTCCGCAATGTACCTCCCATTTTTGTAAGAGTACCGCCTGTTTCTAATATTTTTGAAAGCCCTGGATATATAATCATGATTGTAATTTCAAAGTTGAAATGTATTCTTGAAAGTAGGACAAGAAGTTCAAAATAAAGAATAACTTTACACCCCCAAAAATGAGGAAGTTTTGCACTTACATTTTATAATAATTGAAGATTCCTTTTATACCTGCATATTAATGATTTGGGTTTCCTCGTTACATAATTTCAATAGTAAAAATACCAGGAAGAAGGAACAATTTCAACAGAAATTGAGAAAAATTAGAAAAACAGGGAATGCATGATACAAATGTAAATAAAAAGTGTCCTATTTTTAACAACTAATCATGAAATGCCTTTGAAGCCTTATGTCTGAGCAACACAAATATTGGAAAGAAAATATGAAGTATAATCACCTGTAGTTGTTTCCAAATGATAATCTGATAAATGGGCTAAAATTTGCACAAGTCTTTGATCAGTATGCTGCAACTAATTAATTAAGAAGTGATTGAAATTTAGCTTTAAAAAAAACGATTGCCTGATCAATGACTTGTAAATGGGGAAAACTGTACATCCCTCAATAAACGAATAATATTTGGTACGAATTGACTAATTTAAAGAAATACGGGTTTACTCCGGGAACGGACCAGAATTTATTGTAATTCAATATGGCAGCCTCCATGATTGTACCGTCCCTGCGTGTTCCAGTACCAGTAGTGTTCGTTTTAGGAGCAACTGGCACAGGAAAATCGAAATTAGCAATAGAAATAGGAAGAAAATTCAATGGAGAGATAATCAGTACAGATTCTATGCAGGTGAATAATAAAGATGAATAAGTATTGTATTAAGAACTTTTTAAAAAGCAACCCAGAGTAAAGATAGTTTTAGCGTTGCTGTTTTTGAGCACTTTTAAACAGAAGATTATTTTATCGTTTAAGTAACTGTATTCCACCTTGTATGTGGTGAGGCATGGAGAGGTATGATTACTTCATATCGTGCTGAATTATTGCCAACCGATTATCATGTTAACCAGAACTTGTCTTCTTAATTATTTCATTCAAGAAGTAACTGTCTGGTAAAAAATTAACTGTTGTACATAGCCCCAAAGCTTGTAGAACTTTTATTGTGCTGATAGATTTAGTAGCTTAAAAAACTACTTTAGGTAAGTAAATAAAGCTATGTAGGTTATTCAAGCTAAATATATGTATAGTGATTAACTGATTGTACATGTACCAGACCTGCTCACTACAGCATTCAGGTAGTGTCACACCACAGACAGTGGAAAATGAGTAAAACCATATCTAAATTTTTAAGTTATACCTACTTGTTATCCAAACTTAATTGATTACAATTCATCCAGGGTGTGATGTCAAGGGCAAAAGTTTTCCTCAGAATTCTCAGATTTTTACCTTGGAAACAACATGATTCTCTAGGTATGGTTTGCGTTTATCTTTGAGGATTACTGTGGAATCATCATTGTTTGTGGTTTACTAATGTTCTTGGATTTCATGGGTCACCCTTACCCATTATGGGAAATCCCCACTAACAATTACTTTGTTAATGTATTACTTTAAAATTGAATCTTCTGTATAAGAGTTACTCACAAAAATACATCCACATGTCATGATGAACTAGTAAAATTTTGGTTACCCATGAACATTGACCCCCACAATTTAAAATGATTCCACAGTCTGATATCACAAGCACCGATATGGATGGGGTAACCCCTTCCCTTTGAAACTTGAAGTGAAAACACAACAACATATAAAAAATATGTGAATTCCTGCAGTATCATACCGATACTTACATTCTGATATCTTTGCAATTTTTGTTATGTGAAATAAAGTATTCCTTCACTGGTATATAAAAATACTTAACATGCTAAAGGAAAGAAACAAAATCTTGTGAACAGGGTGTTTATACAGCATTGCCAGTGGAAGTTATACAGAATCAGATCAGGGAGATGATGTTCTACAAGCCTCAACTATTATTACCCAGTCAAAAAGTTTTATTTCATTATTTTCAAGATACCATTCATTTCTGTAACATTTATTTGACAAATCCTGAGACCAGATTGATACGGATTTCTCATAAGTCTCATCACTCGGCAATCAACACCTCCTGATTCAGTTGAAGGAGTCAGGTGATGTAGGTGAATAATCACTCTATCAGGACAAATAAAACATTCTGATGGGTATATAGAGAAGATGATTGTACAATTTTTTTTTTTCAAAAAAGAGAGAGCTCAAAAAATATTGTATTTTTCCAGTCAAAGAGTTTTTCTTCTATTGAAATAACATTTATGTTTCGATGCATCAGAATGATCTACTTGTTTTTAATTTACATCTATAAGAGGCATAAAAAATGTAAAATAAAACTTGGACTCAAACACAGGACCTGATGAGCAATAATTTAAAAGTACTCACTGGTCCGACATACTTAATTCTCATTATTACACTCTGCCCCCAGTTTCTTGGGGTTTTCCTTCAAAAACTTTTACAATGACTTTTAACCATGTGTGTGTATATTGTTCGGTGTCCATATTTAACTATCAGACTGTAAAATGTTTCATTTTGACTGGGTATTCTGGACTTCATTCTGTCTGTGCATGTGCTCTAACCACTGAGCACCAGTTCGATGAAATCATCAATACATATGAAATGTTCCATTTAGTATGTACATTTTGCTATATCTGTCACCACAATCATTTTGGCCTAGTGTGAGGTGTGAAGCAGTAATTTTGTTGTTACCTTGGATCACTGCTGAGGAAGAGGGATGCATTGACTGAATGGAACTGGGAACAAGTTGTTAATTAATACACAAAAAATGTCATATATTGATGTTTATAAGTGATTCAAATACAAAATACCAGTGATAATCCTAAATGATGATCTGTTACAGGTATATCAGGGCCTGGACATCGTTACTAACAAAGTTACAACAGAGGAACAGGATCTCTGTCCTCATCACATGATTAACTATGTCAGTCCACTAGAAGAAGATTATCATATTCATCGCTTCAGAAGCAAGGCTTTACCTATAGTATCCTTTGATTTCTAAATGATTTAACAAATTCTTGAGAACTTGATGTTTGATCCATAGTTTAAAAAAAAAAAAATTAAAGTAGTGATGCATAAAGAGCTTTAAGTATTATATGCATATTTTTGCCCCCCTGAAAAGTCATATTTTTAAATTTTCTTGAAATGTGCTGAATGTATATACATGTATTATGAGAAATCTAGAATCATTTAATTTCTATAAAATAATTGATTCTGATTGGATAAAAAATTCTTTTGATAACTGCATCAATAAAATCTGGAGTTCACTTGCACTTAGCAGCCGGATCTACTTTGGCTGACTTTACATGTATATTTCCCGCTTCCATATTACTTTGTGAAAGAAAAATGAAATTCTTTTACTCTATTTTCCTGAATTTCAAAATTCGTCCGTTACGTTCCTGAGTTATTTTCTACTTTCGTTTCTTTTCGAATTATCCCCCTTTGCTAAACAAATCAGATCGTCTGCAAATGCAGTTGCGGGAAAAAAGGAAAGAAATCATCATACGTTTGTTAAATGTTTGTGTTTGAGATAACTGGTATGAACAATAGAACTGTGAAGAAATGTTTTTATGCTACCAAAGCGGGGAAATGCCGTTAGTCTGTTAATTCTTATAGGAAACGAATGCATGAGAAAAACGACGCTGAGCGAGGACGGATATTCTTTCAAAGTTAAACAGTCGGCAACAGACTCTTCCAGATTTTGAAGCATGTTGTTTTATGCCTGGACATGTTGTGATACGTATATATATGTTCGATTTGAAATTCAGATGAAGAGATGCGCAAATGAAACCGAAAATTTCTGTGACCTAGAAAGAGTTGTTAAGGTTATATTTGAGTAGCTTCCCTTTACATTTATGAACCTAAAGATATCAGCTTACTGGGGGAATATAAACATTGGAATATAGCAAAAATTAATACAACAGGTAAGTTTTTGTGTTAAAACTGTTTTTGTTAGAATAATAGTAATGACACGACAATATTTGAAAACGTTGTTTGTTCGTTATACTCGGCGTCTGAAAATTTAGACAACTAAGCTAGGCCTATATGTTGGACAGTCATTCGATCGTTCTCAAGTTAAATCTCATCATTGAAAGAACCATGCTTAGGTGCGAAACATCCCGTTACCTTTTGAATTTCAGCAACATTGTTGTGATGTATTCCTACGCACTGTCTTCGATACTTAAATTAAATATTAAAGTGAAAGAAAGTTTCATTCTATTATTCTAAAATCATAATTAAATGATAAGAAATGAAATTAATATTTTTTTCTTTGACCGAAGTATCAAACAAAAATTTGGACGGAAAACGTTTTCATCAATGCGCTACGCGCATTGATGACGTTTTCCGTCCAAATTTTTGTTTGATACTTCGGTCAAAGAAAAAAATATTACATTCATTTCTTAATTAACAAAAAATATAGTTTCAAAGTAGGTTATTGGCAATTTTTTTTCTTTGATGCCACAAACAATTTGAAATTTGTGTTATTTTTCAGAAAGAGGAAAAATGGACAAAATTTGTTCAATTTTTTTCTATAAAATTTATAGAGAGCAGACCTGCTCCAGAACATATCCACATATCAATATACCGTAACGTGGCATGCAATTAGACTATACTAAGATACATAATTGTCTTTATGTTTTTTTTGATTTTGATGAATGATGTTTCCATGGTAAATAAAATCAAAATTTCTGTAAATTTCTTTTAAAAGGCTACTCCTCCTACAGTTTTAGTCTGATTGCAACTAATCTTGCCACAAAAAGAGACTAGACCAAGGATCATTATTCTATTTACTGCTGTTGCAAAGTTTCAAGTCCAACTGCTAATTTTCTCTTCCTTTGTTTTAAGTACAATCCAGTAGAGGTACAGTCTCGACAGAGACTTCTGGTTTTTAAAAGCAATTAAATTTAAGGGTTTGATGTGAATGTGAATTTTCATTTAACGGATAAAATCCCAGCAAATAATGAATGAAATATTTTGAATGATGAACTGTCTTGTAGGAGAGATAGTGAGGAGTTGCCTGGTTTAACAATGAAGTTCATTAGGGGAGATAGTGAGGAGTTGCTTGGTTTAACAATGAAGTTCATTAGGGGAGATAGTGAGGAGTTGCCTGGTTTAACAATGAAGTTCATTAGGGGAGATAGTGAGGAGTTGCCTGGTTTAACAATGAAGTTCATTAGGGGAGATAGTGAGGAGTTGCCTGGTTTAACAATGAAGTTCATTAGGGGAGATAGTGAGGAGTTGCCTGGTTTAACAATGAAGTTCATGTTTCCAATGTTTTCTTTCCTGCTAACTATAGCAGCTGGTTTTTGTGAAAAAAAATCTCAGATTTGAAAACAATATTAATTCCTTAGAGACCACCATAGATAGAGCAACTTTTGAAGGATAAGAAACTGCCCATTATAGTTGGAGGAACAAACTACTACATTGAATCTTTGCTGTGGAATACCCTGATCAAGTCTGAGGTAAGTTAGTAAAAAGTTCTATTTTAGGTAAAAAGTTTAATGAATAGTAAGGCATTCAACAAAGTTATGGTCATGATTAATGTGTCTTTCTGCCAATGTTTTAAAAGTTTTTTGCATATTGTAATCGTAAGTTTATATAGAAGTGGTGTATAGCTACTGTTAAAACACACTTGAAAAAAATCATTGCTGTAATTGAATGGAAAATTCAGCAACTTTCATCATGCTTATGTATTCTTAATTATTTATGTGAAGTATGGTAAATAACTTTACAGTAGCTAATTGTGTATTAGCTGAAGTAATTTAGGAAATGCTTTTAGATTAGGGAGATGAAAATGATTTGTCTCATTCTTCAACATAAACTGAAAAAACAAATTCAAAGATAGGAGTGTTTTCCTCACAGTGCATAATATACCTCCATTTTAATGTATGGTGAATCATTTTAAAGCTAATCAAGAAACAAATATTTATGCCCCAAGATCAAAGATTGGGGGCATATTGTTTTTGTCATGCTAAGTTTCTGACATAAACTTTAAACTTCTTAGTAACTTTTGTGTCATAGAAGTTAAAAACTCATATTTGGCATATGGGCCTTGAATATTTTTCAATGACCTTGTCCATCAGTCTGTCTGTGTGCAATCATATCTGGGCCATAACTGTGTAATGGAGAATCATGGGAAACCTCATACTAGACATGAAGATTATGACTGAAGGGTGTCCTGATGTTTCTTAACCTTAACCCAAGGTCATCCAGGCAAGTTCAAGGTCACTAGCAAAAAAAAATGTAAAATTGGTATCCAGTCCACAACTTTCTAATTAAGAAACATTGGAAGTTCATACTTCACATAAAGATTACTTAAGACATAAGAGTGTGTCTTGATCTTGACCCAAAGTCATTTGATAATGTTAAAAGACACTTTGAAAAAAATGTAAAATTCCTGTCCTTGCTATGTCTTGCATCTGAAAAAAAGACTTTGAAATGCAGATTGCTTATATTTAAAGTCACTTGGGCAAGTTCAAGTTCACTTGCAGAAAAAGTAAAATTCAAGTCTTGCCCATCACTGTATTATGGAGAAATATTAGATGATATTTAAGAAAAAGATTACTAAAGATCTAAGAATTTGCCATGAGACTGACCCAGCACCATTTAATTTAGAAAGTTCTAGGGCTTGGCAGTAAATATGTACAGTGCATGTCAGGGCCCCTTTTTACAAAAGAACTTACAAGTAAGATCAAAATTTAATTTTGGGAATAACTTTCTTTTTAACATTAATTTGAAAATGGTTTCAATCTTTTTTAAAAAGAATTCAGAAAGAAATATTTATGCTTGCAATTTTTAACAGAATCACTTATTTTGTAAGATTTTACAATCAACAAAAGTTTTTGGTCTTAGTTGTAAATTCTTTTATAAAACAGGCCCCTGGTCCATAACTTTCTAATGGAGAAGCATTAGAAGTTCATAGTTCACACAAAGGTTGTATAAGTATGACCTAGGCAGTCAAATTAAATAGATAAACATGATAAAAGGAAGAGCAAGATAAAAGGTCTAATTTTAATTAGATTGTACCTAGGGTTGTGTTATGACATTGACCCAAGGTCTTTTAGTCAAGTTGAAGGTTACTTTCAGAATAAGTATGTAATTCCTGTCTGGTCCATACCTCTCTAATTAAAAAATTGAAAGTTGATAATTAACACAAAGATTACTTATGACCAGAGGTGTGTCATGAACTTGAACCAAAGTAATTTTGGCTATTTCAATGTCACTTTTAGAAAAAATATACAATTCCTGTCCTTTGTAATGGAGAAATGTCAGAAGTTCATTCTTAGCACAAAGAATTCTTATGAGCTGATGCTGTGTTAAGACCTTGACCCAAGGTCATTTGGGGAAGTTTTAAGATCGCTGGCAGAAAAAAATTTAATCTGAGTCTGTTTATTAATAGAACTTAAGTGTGAAATGATGTAAGTTTAGCTCTAGCTGTGTTAAGTTAACAAATGATGGAAGTTCATATGACTATTGAATAACAACAGCTTGTGAGTATTTAGGGGGAAGGACCTTCTCCTGATTTTTTTTTGGGGGGGGGGGGGGTATGTAGTATGTTGCATGATAATAGTTTTGCTTCTTCTTGGCACATAAGTGCATGAAGGGGAAGAAAATATTGTGAAAATTACAGAATTATTACATTATCTTTCTCACATTGCTTTATCTGTGAAATGTGACTGTACAAAATATAGAAGAAAAAGTGATGATAATTATCGTATATGGTTTATCTTTGTCTGTACAGAACCCTGAAGAACTCCTTGATCTGAAGTAGTCATCAGAAAGTAGGGGGACACGCTTGACGTCAGTCTCTCTGTAAATCTTGAGGGTCCAGGAAATGTTTCTTGGTGATAAAATTAAAAGTCCAAAGTGGGTTATCTGCAGCAGATTTCTTTTAAGATTACACATAATTTAATGCTTTATAATTGTGCTGAGTTTGTTGAACCCTTTTTTAGTGTAGTGAATCTGCACAAGCTTTTTTTCCGGGTGTTGTTAAAGTAATTTCTACTTATTAAGGAAATTATTTATGGAAATCCAAAATTCCTGCGATGATGATAATGAGTATTGTATTTGTTCCTGGATATTTTGTATCAGTGTTCTTGATTGGTCAGAACTACTTTATGGAGTGGGGATCTGCTTGAGAGATGGTCAGGTTGTGCACCCTGTTGAATATATCAGGACAACTTACCTGTAAATTATCTGTCATTAATAACCCTTTGACATGGATGGTTTCCTTGAAGTTTAATTGTTAGTTTTTTTTGTTCAATCTGTCTTGTACTTGAACTATTTCTAAATCTCCTTATATCCAGGTAGCTTTTTGTTCTATATCCTCATCTAGACTCAAGAATCAAACACTTACATTGTCTCTCTCATCATTTCACTGACTTTTTTCACTTAAGTAGACGGGGAATAGCATTTTATTTAAATCTCTCTGAATGGTTGACATCTTTGACTTAGAGGTAGGTGGCACCAACAGTTCTTAAGGCCCCACATGAAAGTACAGGAGCCCTATAGGAATCCTTATGTGTTCAATGTGTTGAATGTTTATCCATGACACTTTCGCTGTGACATGTTAACTCGGTTTTTAATGTAACATTTTTTGAATTTTAACACTGAAGAACGTTACTATAAGGGAAAGGTTGGTCCTATCACTTTGTCTGTCTGTATGTCTGCATGCCTGAATGTATATTTACCAAGTACAATTGTTACTTTCCTTTAACAGCCCTTTGAGGGACTCTCTCTGACAATGTCAGTTTTCTATTTTAGAGCTGATTTTTGTCACATCTAGGTCTTTGTGAAGGTGAATACTTTTAGGTAATTTAGTTACACAAGAGATCAGTGCTGTAATGGACTAATGCATCTATCTGCTTTTCTTTGATATCTTTGTGTTGATTCCCTCAAAAACAACAGGAATTATTTGAAAATCCCTGATTGTGATATAATTATAATATATTATACTTTAATTATTACTTCAGTACCAGGGGCATGCTATGTATGAGGGAGAGGAAATTACTTCCTGGGTTTTCCATTCCTACAAAACATTCAAAATATGCACAGTGCATTATTACCTAATGTAGCAAATTATTCTTCCTTGTCCCAAGGGAGTCAATAACAAGTCATATAATTCAAAGGTATTTAAGTCTCCCAAGCACCTTGATCATACCTGAATCACATATTTCTGTTCTGTATTAAGGACATATGCAAGGTACCTTACCTACTGATAATTTTTCAAGATATTCTTAATGTAAGATTATAGTGCTATCAGATGTTCGTAGACAAAAAATCAGCATGTATTACCAGGGGTTTTGAAAAGATATCAATTAATGAAAATTCTTGTATAATTCAAAGAAAAATACACAAAAATTACTAAACATATATTCTAGATGTTTTGTTTATCCAAACTTGTTTTAGAAGAAGTGTACAACAGCATATATAGACATAAAAAATGTAGCACACAGTTCCTTTAAGTATTGGAACTCTTCAACTCCAGGGAAAAAGACAATAAAGTTCAAACTATGATGCGTATGTCCTTATGCTTCTGAAAAATCACATGAACTGTTGATATTTTGATGTTGTCCATTTTCCAAAAAAAGTTAGAATTGTTCTTTATTATCATTGATACAAATTTCTTACTTCAAACAGTACTCATTGTGACAAATTAAGATTTGTAATTTTATGCATGGATGATGAGACTTTTTAATTAATCATTCATTTTCATTGCATTAATTAAACTTTATTTACCGGTATTCGCAATTATCATTTTAAGCCTAAAGAATAATAGTTTGAACTGTGTTAAAAACAAGTTGCAGTGACATTTATAAGTTTAATTAAAAATGATAAGTAAAACTTTGACCGAATACTGTACTTATAGTCTGAGCACCTGGTAAATATGTGTGAATTTTTATAGAGTTGTGAATGGATGAAACAACCAAGAGTACATGTGCTGAGGATGAAAATCTCAAGAAGATTAAATACAACTAATGCATAATTATGAACAAAGGAAAGTGTTGGATGTATCATGTTGATCTAGCTCCATACAGCTGCTATAATTTAGCTCATCCAACATCCAGATTGTAATGACAGCAAATTATAGTAATATTCCATTCACTCTTTCAGAAATACTATAATGGGGGAAAAGTTGAAGGAATTAATTTTGTGACCTTTAGTTATTACCCCGGTATTTTTTTTTTTTTTTGTACATTCTGCCATCTATTTTCTTAATTATTCCTAAAATGAAGGGTAAAATGATTATGAAGTCTGACACTAAATGAATTCACTTCATCACAGCAGCATATAATTGTTCTTATCTTAATGTGATTATCAGTAAACATGAATAAACTCTCTTTCCCTCCCTCCATCCCCCCCCCTCTCTCTCTCTCTCTCTCTCTCAGAAATGACAGAACTAGGTATGTATGTTTTTGTGGCACCTAATCTGACCACAGAGAGGTAGACCATTTGAGATTCATCATAAATATGAAGTAGAACCTGATCAATCTCCAAAACCAGATGAAGCACTTTGTGAATGAAATAAAAAATGTGTGAGAAAACCTGAGAGTGGTAGCCTCCCAGGTTGTGTCTAGTGTAGTACAAATCAACCCTAACAGGTTATGTTGAAAGCTACAGGAGGTCCAGTAGTTTGTGCTTGTGGTTGCTGTAAAAATACACAATTACCTGACACTTGAAAACATTGCAGGTCATATCAGACCGGTGCACTAAGTTGTTTTACATGTATCCACAAACAGGGGTGAAATTTAATTTCATCGTCTGGGGAATATTAGTAGCAATTAGGAGAAAGCAATGAATGAGCAAAACTTGTAGAAATGAAAGGTTATCAAAAGGCAAACTTCTACAAATGCTGTGGCAGGGTGATTTAGGGGAGGGATTTTTCTTTTAAGATGGGAAGGTTAGAGGAATGATGGTGTATCATTTTCTTCTCTGGGACAATTTGTGAAATCAGCAACTATCTGTGTGAAGGATGGGCCAGCTGTTTTTCTGTAGTTACAATTTATGAGGGGATCTGAAATGCATACTGAAGTCATTAGAGTTAACAGGGAATTAATAGTCAAGCACTTGGAGTCAATTTGCTAAGTTGTAATACACTTGTCAGAGAATTTGTATACACTTGTAGTTGCTGCTTAGAAGGACATGGGGGATTAGGGCCCCTTGTAAGGAGTGGACACACCTTTGGGTCTGTGATAGATGGGAGAGGGGTAGGTTTGTAGGAGTCCATTGAAAAGAGATGTGTAGTCACACTTATCATTTTCCCCTGTTTTAGACCTTGAATGGAGATAAAATAGGTGTCCTTGTTCTTACTAAAGTAATTTTTGAGAACACTTATAAAACGGGAAGCTGTGCTGAAGGAGCTTTTTAGCCAATCATTTTTTGTCTCAACTTTTTTGTACCATATAAAGTAATAATTATCAACTGATAATTGTGATATTAAGTCAATAGATTGAACAAATGACAAGTTCTACTATAAAATTTGGTATACAATGGATTATTTAATATGAACTGTACCAGAAAAATTGGTAGCGTTTAATATTAACTTTACTACAGTACCTATTACATCTGTACATGTACTTAGCTTAGATGAAATTAACAATCACATCATGGCTATATATAGCTAAATGTTATGTGAACATCCCACAGAGAGCTCCCAAGTTTCTAAATGTAAAATTCCTCCTTCTATTGTCTCCTCCACATTTTCTACTTTGCCCCTGTCCTCAGTCTTAATTGACCATTGCTAGAGATAATCCTAAGAGAGATCAGTCTTGTTATAGATGACCAGTGGTCATGCTGACTTCTCTGGACACACTTCAAAGTTTTTGCCCCTCCTAAATCACCTAAGCAATGGTGCCTTTGTCCTGTCCAGGATTTTCTGGTGTCAGATTCAAGACCATGTATCAATGGATTCTTCACACTTAAGTCAAAGAACTGCAAGCTCAGGGGAATTGCCATCAGACTAAAAATCTTTGTTCAATTATCTCTGTCTGCTGAATTTCTTTTCAAATAAATCTGAATTCAGCTGTACATTATTTAATTGGAACCACACTTTTTTATTGTAGTGGTGATGGAACTGTGAATGCTTGTTTGTTACTCATAAGAGATGCTTTTTTAAAAACCACTGTATTACAATGTATTTATTAATACAGATGTTCATATTTGTAAATGGTTAATAATAATTGTTGATAAATTGGCAAAATTACCAAGTACTAAACTTGCTGAATTATAAAGCCCAAATTTAATGGACCAAAGATTCATAATTAATCTGTAGTCTTTAGGAATGCCAGAGTACAATGTATGCATGTCTGGGGATTATACAATGTATTTTGGAAAAAGGCTTATTTTTCTCTAAGCAGGATTAATTAACCTGGTTTAAGGGGACAATTTTAACCCATAACAACTTAGGTCCCTATCTATCATTCCCAAAGTTCATGAATAAATCCATACAATTTCTACTCACCATGTCACAGATATTCATTAACTTAATCTTTAGATAATGATATATGTTTCTAATCTGCATAATTCAGGGTTCATTTCACCTCAATGTACTTTGTTGCAAAAAATAGCATTGTAAGGGGGATAACTCTGATATATTTCTCTCAATGCAGGATATCGAAAGAGCAAAGTTGAGTTCAGAGCCATCTGTGTGTGAAAAGCAAGGTAAAAATGGTGACATTGAAGCCAGTAGAGAGGAGGAAGTTGATAAATATGGTCAGGTTATTACAGAGGAAAGCCATCGTCTGCGATCAGAGAAGGACGGTGTGTATGGAGGCCTAGACACTTGTACACTGTACCAGAGTCTACAGACCGTAGATCCATTGTCAGCCAGCCGTATCCACCCCAACGACAGGCGTAAAATGCTAAGGTAATGATCTAGTGGATTTCATTGATGAAAGCCAGTAACTAAAAATAAATTCTGATTTTTTGCAAAAATTAATTACAAGGTATATATACGAGGGGTTATCAAAAAGTTCATGGACTGACGCGATAAAATTAATAATATGTAGTCTTTGCTTACAAAATTTAAGCGGAACATAAAACAACAAAAGTTTAAGAAATGTTGAAAATTTTAGCTTGATACGTTGATAATTTGCCAAATTATTCTAAAATTAAAAAGACTTTATGTGATCACCCGGCGCTGTCGCCGTTTAGTGTCATGACGTCTGCTTTCATTGTTTCTTAATGTCCGCTCTCTCTACCTCATACACTTATCTTAATGAGATTACCTGGAGTTAAGTAAGGACTTAAACCCGTCTTATTTATATGAATTTACAATGTCATGAGCAGCTGTTTTCAATGCATATAATATTGTAAATGGATCTTTATATGGGGAAAGATCCTCACTTGATTATGCCAGAGTATACTTAGCTTGTTGGAGTTCAATTTCTACCACACATGATCAACGTCACTTTTCGACGTGACTGACTTTTGACACCCTGACTACAAATCGACACTAACTGTGCATATTTCATCTCTCTGAATCTTTTTGGGCATTAAAAAACAAGTACTCTGGATGCATTTTATTTTTCTGTAGCCAGTTTAAACATTCCTTAGGTCAATACCAGTTTTTCCAGGAGCGAAACTCTATAGAGTGTTTGAAAAAGAAACCCCTCCCCCTTTTTGACGTTATTTTCAAGCCCATAATTGTTTGGACACTCCATATAAAATTTACGATAAAATTTCATAGAAATTACAGAATGGGGTAAAAATTGCAAATTTTACTAAACAAATGTGTCGTACCACATGCCTGAATTAACGAGATTTTTATGATGACAAATACTCATATCTAAAGAGTTTTTCTCAGTTACACTCAGGTAGAAAAAAACGTCATATTAGAGGTTGCGCCGCCTGGACATACCTTTGCTTACAAAAAACACTAACAATTTATTAAAAAATAAAAATTATGATTTATGGTTTATTCTATAGATAGAAAAGATGATGCTAACTAAATGTGTAAAAATTCATTGATGTACCTAAAGCGGTTTTAATTTTATGACGCTAGTCCACGAACTTTTTGATAACCCCTCGTATGTTTTAAAAATACCTTTCCAATTTGCACATCACCTTGCACTGAACTGTAGATTGGTAAAAATTCAATTTGAATGACATTCATTAAAATAGGTCCTGTCTAGTTTAAGCCAACTGTTGGCCTATTTTGTTTTGTCAGAATTGTTAACTGAAAGTTAACATAACCAATCAGTAACAAATTTTAGCAAAATCATAAGAAAATCACATATTCTAACAGAGCTTAGAGATTGATAACAAAATTTCCACCTTCCCAGGCATTCCTTATCATGTCATATAAAACAACATTATGAACACAGTTATTCTAAAATAGTAATGCAAGTTATAGAGTCAAAAGTCTGAATTGTCTTTATTTTAACACAAGCAATTGTTTCTTTTTAAATATCATCTTTCACTTTGAAGGTACATGTAGATGTAGAGTTTTTAGTATTATTATTTCTAGCTAAATGAAAGGAGGTGTATAGACAGAAAATTAATTGATATATTACTCGTCTTTAGATATTGATGCTCAGACATGATTAGAAAAATTGTTTATCAGTTAGACATGTTGTTCTCTACCGGCACGAAAATTGGAAATGCATTCAGGTATAAAGTGCTTTTAGATGACTTGAGATAAAAACATGCAGAGAGTCAGTGTAAAGTGCATACACTTTAATGAAATAAATAGATGCATATAAACTGTCATTCAAGGCTTGTCTTAGGCCTTTGATATTACATTCAGTTCAACCCTCTGCATATTAAGCAGATACTAGTGGATAATTTATGTTAAAGATATGTAACAAAAACTAAATATATCAAATTATTTTTATAGCCCTTAGAGACCACTTTGTCATGGATTTTTGTTGAGCAATAGGAAATTGGGACAGATAATTAACATATCAATGAATGAAATGTCCTTTCGTTAGACTTGTATTGTTCTTATGTGTAAATCAAGCCACATGTGGGTGTCTCTTTAAGGAAAAAAAGTACATCCTTCATTATCATTGAGAAAAGCAATTTATTTTAATCTTTAACATATATTCAATTATTAATAGTCTTTTTTACGACAAATCGGAAAAGTTGAGACACTTTTCAGTGATTTTGAGGGATTATGACATTTTTTAAAAAAACATTTTTTATTACCACTGTTTGTTGAAAGTACTCATGGAAAGGTTATATGGTGCATTTCCTTCATTAACTGTGCAGTTTATGAATTTAATTACTTTTTTTTTTAAGATGATGAAAAAAAGTTTGCACGTTTTTATGAACAGATTGTCACATTAGTAATCTGCAAAATACAGACACAGATAAATGCATTTGAAATGTTAATTATCCCTAGTAATAATTGAAAGAGCAGTTTTTTTATCTTATGAATATCAAATAGAAATAACATTACACCTCAGCAGGGCTTTAGTGCTGTGGAAAGTGTGCTATGAGAGACATTGCAAATGGACTTGAGACATTATTTCTCTGTCAAGGTTAAAACTCTTCCCAGACATTACCACAATGTGAAAGCATGGAGTATACATTAATCTATTTGTATATAATTCTTTAATTACTTCGTACTCTGTAAGGCATTAAAAAGGTTAATAATTATAATTTCTGAAGTAGACGGAATTTCAATATCGGTATAACTCTCCTATCAGAGATGATGTGTAGTGGTTCATTTTCATTAAGGAGAGACAGCTAATCATTTACTTTGGTAAAACTTTCTCCAGGTGTGAGATCTTGAATAGTTTGATCTCTTTTTGAGAATATTTTATTCAGTGGTAAATTATGAATATTCATTTGTAATACTTTTTCAGAAGTACAATTTCTGTGTTGGTTGATGTAGATTTCTCCCTAGATTTGGCTTAGTGTGGGTTCATGTATCTGTAGAGTTTTATGATCTTGTATTACAGAGAGTCATACAGTGCAATAAAGCCCTTTATAGCAAAGATTTTCTCATACCTCCAATCTATCTTAGTTTAACCAATGGCCTTTCTTCACTGATACAAGTGTTCAATGAAATTAAAGATAATTTTAAATCACCAAATAATTAAAATTTTTTAAAAACTTCAAAGTTATGAGAAATTATTTTGACAGACCATTCAGACAATAAAAAAAATGCTAAGTTTTAAAATAATCATACATGCATCGATAAGATTTAAAATTGCACATAACTACAGTTTAACTTAACAAGCAAGTATTATCTGCACATAAAAAACAGTTGAAAACATTTTGATCCAAGGTTTAAGCAAACATTCTCCTCTTTATGGGGATTAAAATAATAATTGTCTTTTATGTGGAAAACCATTTCATATTTATGTGATTATCATATTAAAATTTTTATGCATTTATGGTCATGAAGCATAAAAAAGTAGTCTTTTAAGAGATAGGTTTTTATAATGACGTCACTCCTTTGATGTGAAATCTGGACACTTTTTAGCTTTGTGTAGAAATCGGTATGGCTTTCACATTTCCAATATGCAGTCATCTATATTATTTTATGCTAAATTCACTGTTAATGTTACCTTTCATATGATTAAATTTTTAATGCCCAATTTACATAATTTTTCCATCATAAGCTTGGGAGTGTTACATTAAGTAGATGTATTAATGTACCATTTTTAAATGCTGTACATTACTATTGTGGTTTGGTTGTGGTTTCAGAGCCTTGGAAGCATATGATGTTCATGGGGTTCCAATGAGTGAAATCTACAAGGCCCAGAAATCAGCTGATTCTAAACTAAGGTATCCCAACACATGTGTCCTGTGGGTTCAGAGCGAACAAAGTGGTAAGATGGAAGAAAATGATGCGTACAATGTTGTAACTGTCACAATCTGTGCATAGATTGAGGAATCAAAGATCATCATACCCCTTACATTGTTAATACTTATCTGCTATGCATTTTCACCCATTTGAAAGAATTTAGTACTGTTTACATATAATTAAATATAATCTGTATTGTGTTGGGTCTTCCTGTTTGAAACATTTTTAGCCCCCTATGAGGTGACTAACCCCCCCCCCAACACACACACACACACACACACACACACAGAGACACATTAAGCAGATTGCTCATCTTAAATAATTTTTGCATTAGACATAAACCACTGTGCTTAAAATCTTACACGCTGGTTTTACAAATGTTAAAAGTTTGAATTTCAGTTCTTATAAAAATTTATGCATTAAATGATTCATAAGATTCTTAAAATAGAATGGTTACAAAACTCACAGTGTATTGCTTATTGCTTAATAAAATATATCATTTTGAAAATTTTAATTCAATACACAGTCCTATTCATTTGCATTTCTCCTGCTTGCTATAGACATAAGGAGGGTATGATTCATATTTATAAATACTTGTAACAGATGAAGGTTGCTAAAGTAAATACAATAGATGAGCTGGTAGATTGATGTCCTGTTGTCTTTATTCACCATGTGGTGGCTTATACTACTTTAGAAATTCCTATTTGTCACTTCTAGTATCTATATGCATCAATATCAGGTATGCTTTATGGACAGGAATTCTTTATGTTCGTCAATTCCATTTCTTAAGCAAATATTGATGTGAAATCGGGAGGATGGATGACTTGTGGCTAAAATGCAGACAGTTTAGATTTGCAGGCAGTTTCAGATTACATAAACAATTTCTCTCCGAACTGGCCAAAGTGACCCTTCTTATTTGTAAACATCTTTATTACCAAGTCATAAAGCTACTCAGACCAAAAATTAACCAAAAAAGATGAGCTATTTATACAAATTAAGTTATTTGTACATGTTTTTAAGCTGATTTTACCGACAAAAAAAGTGCTGCTACATATACTATAGTGTAATTGGTAATTATGATGAGATGGTTACATTTTAATGTTTTGATTTCAGTTCTAGATGATCGCACAAATAAACGTGTGGACACCATGATTGAGAGAGGGTTGATACAAGAGTTGCTAGACTTTCATCAACAGTACAATGCCAAGAGAGAACGGGAAAATAGGTATTATAGTGGACCATGTTCTCAATGTTTGTTATTTTATAATGGAAAGGGTATTATGTAGGAGACAATTCATTGAAGAAATTTTGTACCTAATCTCTAAATACAGTCAAACCTCTATCTTGAACTCAATGGTGCCCCCCAAAAAAAACTGTATATCCAAGGATTCGAGATATTGAGGGTAAAATACTTTAAAAAACAGTAGTTGAGACTTTCAAATCACTTCGACATATCCGTGGTATTCAAGATATAGGTGTTAAAGATACCGAAGTTCAACTGTATAAAAAACTAGATACCCAGTATGTATCAAATGTGCTTAAACCTGGAGGTGCTTTTGGGCTCAGTTTTTTGGGATATTTGATTAGATTGCCAACATTTAATTTTTGTGAACATTTTATGAAAGGCAAAACAGTTTGATTTTGGGGGAAATTGGAAGGGTTAATCTAGGATATTTTGGATTCGGAGTTGGCTTGATCTGCTTTGAAATGAAGTATAGGAAAAGGGAGATAAATCTTACTTATCTTTAGCATGAACCAGGCTATCTTGTTGAATTAAAGTGACACTGTGACGGACAAACGGGAAAATTGACAACAGTAGAATTTTTGCATGACACATGCAAATTTTGTTCAGTTCTTGAAGATATTAGGGTTAAGAAAATTACAGGTTTCAGAACCTAAAAAAACTAATTTAATGGAGAAAAATAAAAGTTAAAAAAATCTTTGTATAACCCATCACAAAAATATTACTTCACTTCTTCCTCTTTATTGTACGCATGCACTGAAAAGTTGAAGAATTTACCATAGTTTCAATTCCATAGATATAAATGTCAGATGACTGAGAATTTTAATACAATCTTCAAAAAAGATGATCATAACTTATTCTTTACTTCTGCTTGCCCCAATTCAATGTTGTATACAAGTGTCACGCTAAAAATAAAAGACGCGTGACCTTGACATTGTTGACATTGACGATAAAAACAGAGCGATAGATACAAGATTTGTTTTTCCTGCACTTATATTTTGCAGTTTTTTTTTCTTGCTTTACAGTGCAGTTGAGTTGTCAAAACTTCGCTATATTCATATTTCACAGAAATCTTTTGTTTTGTGATACAATTTTTTAAAAGAAACACATGGTTTTGACTCATTATGCAACTTTAAGCAACTTGTGAATTATGATGAATTAAAGCCTTTCACCTGCAAGCTTTGAATTTGGGTTGATGGACCAGAACCTTTTTTTCTCTTTTCAATTTGGATTAAAGCATACTGAATGTTTGCTTGTAAAGATTTGAACATTTTGTTACAGAGAAATAGACTACACCACTGGGATATTTCAGAGTATAGGATTTAAAGAGTTCCATGAGTACCTTCTTTTACCTGAGGAGGAGAGAAATTCAGACAAAGGAAAACTAATGTTTGAAAAAGGTGTGTGATTTGTTTTTCAACATCAGTGTGGCTGCACGATATTCTGGTGTATTGCAGTTTGTTGACAAAAGTACCAATTTTCAGTACCAATATACCAGCAAAGGGCTTGGGATTAAAGCTGAACTCTACTTGTAAAAGGCATTGTCCGCCATATTTCTCTTTCATTGTCGCTATCCCCTACAACCCCTATATAAGCCGCAGACCTCATAACAGTTCAAGGTATTTCGCTGTACAGGTCTGACGAGTATAGACGTACATCTTACATTGCCATGTTACTCTGTCGCAATAAAATTATCAAATTTTATGCACTTTTTCCGAGCCAGTGGAAAAGTAACATTAAATATACAAGTCAATACTTTATTTACAAACAGAAAATGCACATAAAAACAAGAAATAAACGCACAAAATCTAAGACCACGAAAGGAATACTACACGTCGGCCACAAATTTCAAGTGTGCAATCAGGTGTTACAAAATCTAAGGGTTTATATCCCTATGCGACAGTGCCTATTTATGAGTAGTGTTCAGCCCTTAAGTAACAGAGTCAAGACTTCTAGAATGAAATACAAAGTTTAGGATGTCAGAATTGTTTGCAATTGTGTCAAACAGTAGACAAAAGTTGAAGAATGGGTGCATGTTGGTGCATAACCATAATTAAATCAACAAGATTTTTTTTTTTGGTTATCTATGATAGTTATGTTCATTCTGCATATATATGAAGCTAATAAAATAACAAAAAGCATCAAATTGTGCAATATATATTGCAATACAGTTAAAAATGTTGCAATACAAAATTTTCAGCCAGTATCAAGCCCTGTGTATCAACACATGCAGTGCATTGTGAAATTCAAGGATTAATTTGATTTAATTGTTTTATTCAGTACATGTTTTATATAATATACTGTACACAGAATAAGATTGGGCTGCAGGCTAGGTTTATTTGAGCCTCTTCCCAGGATAAAAAGGGAAAAAAATTTTTAGCAAAAGTAGAAATATTTCATAATAAAAAAAGTTTTTGGTTGCATAATACAGGGTGTTTCATAATATCTGCAACCATTAAAAATTCTGACAAGAACTTTATTTTTTAAATTATCTTCAATAACAACACACCAAAATGTTTGTTTAATCTTCTTGATTTTATTCAATCTGTTTTATTTTCATGATTGAATTTTCATCCATGAAAAAAAGACGGTCAAAATCAAAAATAAAAAGGTGTGCTGTAATTGACGTCCAATAACTAACAGCATATGCTACTAAATTTTCCTAACCTCACCACAGATTTCGATTTATCTTCCTTTTGTTTTCAGTTCTGCTTTTGTAAGATGTTACATAATAAAAATATAACTTTTTATTTAAAATAAATTCACAAATTATTCTGCTATGGTATATGACCATAATATTTATCCCTTCATGTATTTGATGATATGTCATTTTCAAAGTAAGAGAAAATTTCTTCTTTTGCACAGGTGTAGACAAAATGAAGATAGCAACAAGACAGTATGCTAGAAGACAGATCCACTGGATCAAAAGCCGCCTGTTCAGAAGTGAGTGTTACTGATTGGCACACATTAAAGTTAACTGGTTTATGCTCTCCCTGTTCCTTTACGTAGGAAATTAGAATCGTACATCTTTTTCTTTAGACAAGGGAAGTAACCCTCCTCCTGTGTATGCAGTAGACTCCACAGATGTGAATCAATGGAAGGGAAAAGTTCATGATCCTGCCATACAGATTGTCCAGGATTATGTAAACGTAAGCTTTTATTGGTAGTACATTATTTATCCAATAACACAACTCAAATCTGACCTGACAAGTAATATGAGTAAATTTCAGCTTTAGATTTCTAAATATTATTTTTGACAAGAACAAGCCCAGCAATTTCATGTTAATGCCATGCTTGTTGATTTTTTACTGTTTTAAGGGTGTTGTTCCCACACAAGAACCGCTACCATTGACTGAGTATGATGATGAAAAGGAGTTCAACCATTGTAAAATTTGTAACAAGACTTTTGTAATGAAGAAGAAATGGCTAGGTAAGATTGCAGCATGTAAACTTATCAATCTTTAATGTTGACCATTGTTTTAAGAGTTAATTTACTCTAAACAATATTTGCAACAATATTTAAATACATATGTAGTAGTGAACTCTCTTGTATTATAACCTGCCCTCATCTGAACAAGACACATATTTATGACATCTTAAATTTCATTAATTAGATCATTTGAAATCATCAAAGCATTATAGAAGAAAGAAAAGTATAAGGAAAAGGTACAGTATTAATCTCTATTTTAACCTCTCTAAACATTGGTTCAGTAAATCTGGTAGGAATATACAGGTGTGTGAATTTATACTTATAATAAAATTGAAAGGTAATCCATTATAACTATCAGAGCCACATATAACATGTATCAGGTGAAATTTGCAAATAAGCGCTTTCTTTTAGCTAAAGTGTGTGCTTCAGCTTGTATCCAGTGAAAAGCCAATTTCACAGGGATTGATAAACCCTGGACTTTTCTCTGATATTACAGTATAGACATGTAATGCATGTTTGACATTCATTGTTGCTCATGTCTAAAGAGTGTGCCAATATGTCCATTTTTATCACATCCAAAAACACAAAGATAAACTTACAATTTCTTTTTCTAGAAATGTCTTAACATTTTTATCAAAGTTGAGATTTATGATAAAATTTTATTGCTATAGAATACATGTTATATCCATATACAGTTGAAATTCAGTATCTCAAACACCGATATCTCAAATACATGTACCATGGATATGTCAAAGTGATTTGGTAGTCCCAACCCCTTACTCTTCATGTATTTTACCCCATGTATTTTGTATTTATGTCTCAAATCCTCAGATATCTTGGTAGTTTTTTCTTGGTCCCATTGAGTTTGAGATAATGAGCTTCAACTGTATTTACATTTTGCAAATGTTTTTCCTTATGTAACACCATTTGAGCAATGCATATTGAAACCTGTTCATAAACAGGTTCATAACAACGTCAGATTCATTGCTAATTCATATAGACAATTGACGTACTTTCACAGTGAAATCATAAGTGGTCAGTGTGTTCAACACATTCAGTTTATACCACTGAGGTTTGAATCTTGGGTTTAAAACTATGATATACAAATATTTGTTGTAAATCAGTCATGAATGTAAATATAAGTGATGAGGTATCATATTTAAACATTTATAGGGATATAAATATGGATTGATCAAATCTACCATAACGACCCTTGGGCTTTATGGGATTTGATCAGGTGACCAAACCATATTTATATCTCAATAAATGCTTAAAAACTCTAGTTACTTTATTTCTTAAACAGAATATTTATAGGGTTCTGAGAAGAGGAAATAAATTTCACAGAATTTCATTCATACATGATTTTAAATTCAAAGTAAATACACTGACTTAGATAATTATTAAAAGAACAAATATGAAATGATAAAAAACATGTATGTACTGTTTGATGTGACTGTAATTTCTGTTGTTTATTTCCTGTGGTATTCTGTTTAATCCAATTCAAAAAAAAAATTGAATTGTTGAATTCAAAATACAGCTGATTGACCGTTAGCTCAATGTATGTTACCCTTGTCAGAAAGATAAAATTGCAAATATTTCAAGGCAAGGAAATTATTCATTTCATATTTTTTTTCACAGACTTGGTGAGACGAGTGCTATTTTGGACAAAGTCATAGAAATGAGAAATGCAAAAAGAACAATGAATATGGAAGATATACTTGAGAGTTTAAACTCATTGTCAGACAGCAGTGATGTAGAAACACAAGACAAAGAGGATGGTGCTGGGGTAGAGGGCACCTGACATACAGAGAGATGATCAAATCAAGGACCAAATGACAGATGTTAAAATTAAAGCAGTCCAGGTACTCAGTGATGAACAGATATCCCCCCTCTTCATGCATGGACTCTATAGGTGGGAGTGAGGAGGATGTGCTGAATTTGTAGTTGCTTTCTCTGAAGGAGCATGTTTTCAGTCTTTGCATTACATGCATTGTGTGACATATTTAGAGGAGTACCTTTCCGAGTCAGATCAACTTTAATACAAACTGCTGCTTCACAGTCCCATAAATTGTAGCCATGATAACAATCTGTTATAGTGAAGAAACATGTTTCTTTGAATCCATAGTGTAAAATCGGTAAAATCAGGAATTTTTCTGTGATCTGTTAATTATTTTACAAAATGTTTTTTTGGAAAAAAAAAATAAGCAGTAAACAAACTCACAGTATATTATTTTAGTTTTTTAGAAGATGAATTATAACAAGTAAAATATTTATAAAGCTTTATAAGCTGTCAACAATGCCAATCTTTATATATAATATATGCACTGGTATACAAACAATTTTTTTTCATAAAATAGAACTATTGCTATTGCAATGTAACTGTATACAGTGTCAGTGATAAGTAGCACCAGGATTAAGGATTTCTATTCGTAAATGTGTATGAGAAGCAGGGTTGTCTCTAAGAATTGAAATAATAGGGGACTTTAAAAAAGTAGATGGGGGTCTGGCATTCCTCCCCTAACAGTGGGTTGAGGGTGGATACCAGAATAACCAGGGGATTACGTCATTATGGGCGGAGAAATTCCCTGGCGCCAAGGTCTTAGGGTCAACCGTGGAGAAGGGACACAGAGATATCACAGTCAGTACGTCTCCATACATCGCAACGTCATGCATGATTGTGAGCCACCACCCGCAGAGTCTCCAGCTGGACAACCAGGCCGATCAGACAAAAGATAGCCATCACAGACAGACATATCACGGGGTCCCTCAGGCGACTGCGCAGGTATGAAGATGTCATCAACATGACCACCACCTGCTTACCTATAAATACACACAGTTAATACATTGATACATGAAACATTCACAGCCAGTTTGTTTTAGTGAAAATTGTCCATTTACTAAGCCATTATTTTATCACAACAATCAAGTTTTCCTTGTATTGAATATGAATACTTTACGATCTGCCCGTTTCATCTTTAGAGCTTTATTAACATTATAACTAGTTACTATTTTTGTTTGTCATTTTCTGTATGATCTTCTGTCTCTGTTTAGTGGCTACACAGTGTATTTCTTTAGCATTATCAGTTGTTACATCTATGAAGTAATTTTGCAGTCCAAGATATTTTTCTGCTGTTGTCTGCAAATGAGTGTTTTATTTTAATGCACATTAAAAATGTAAGTGAAACTCGAGAATGTGGACCACTGTAATATTTGATTCTAATAATACTCACTAGTGTTGTGCACCACATGGCTTTGAGTTTCTTGACATTGGAAAAGATGAGACGGATAGCTGTAAGATGATATACAACCATTGTGGCAAGAATGATGATGTTACAAATGTTGATAGAAAGGTCCTCACAGTAACAGGCAAGCTAAAATATAAAGGTCCTCAAAGTAATGAGCAAACTAAAATATAAAGGTCCTCACAGTAACAGGCAAGCTGAAATATAAAGGTCCTCAAAGTAATGGGTGAGATAAAATATAAAGGTCAACAAAGTAATGAGCAAATTAATATACATGTATAAAGGTCCTCACAGTAATGGGCAAGCTAAAATATAAAGGTCCTTAAAGCAATGGGCGAGATAAAATACAAAGGTCCTCAAAGTAATGAGTAAGCTAAAATATAAAGGCCCTCACAGTAACTTGCAAGCTAAAATATAAAGGTCCTCAAAGTAATGAGCAAACTAAAATATAAAGGTCCTCACAGTAACCGGCAAGCTGAAAAATAAAGGTCCTCAAAGTAATGAGCAAACTAAAATATAAAGGTCCTCAAAGTAATGAGCAAACTAAAATATAAGAGTCCTCACAGTAACAGGCAAACTAAAATATAAAGGTCCTCAAAGTAATGGGTGAGATAAAATATAAAGGTCCTCAAAGTAATGGGTGAGATAAATTATAAAGGTCCACAAAGTAATGGGTGAGATAAAATATAAAGGTCCTCAAAGTAATGAGCAAACTAAAATATAAAGGTCCACAAAGTAATGAGCAAACTAAAATATAAAGGTCCACAAAGTAATGAGCAAACTAAAATATAAAGGTCCTCACTGTAACGGGCAAGCTGAAATATAAAGGTCCTCAAAGTAATGAGCAAACTAAAATATAAAGGTCCTCACAGTAATGAGCAAACTAAAATATAAAGGTCCTCACAGTAATGGGCAAGCTAAAATATAAAGGTCCCCAAAGTTATGGGTGAGATAAAATATAAAGGTCCTCACAGTAATGAGCAAACTAAAATATAAAGGTCCACAAAGTAGTGAGCAAACTAAAATATAAAGGTCCTCACAGTAACGGGCAAGCTGAAATTTAAAGGTCCTCAAACAGTTAAAGTAATGGGCGAGATAAAATATGAAGGTCCTCACAGTAACGGGCAAGCTAAAATATAAAGGTCCTCAAAGTAATGGGTGAGATAAAATATAAAGGTCCTCAAAGTAATGGGTGAGATAAAATATAAAGGTCCACAAAGTAATGGGTGAGATAAAATATAAAGGTCCTCAAAGTAATGAGCAAACTAAAATATAAAGGTCCACAAAGTAATGAGCAAACTAAAATATAAAGGTCCTCACAGTAACGGGCAAGCTGAAATATAAAGGTCCTCAAAGTAAAAGGCAAGCTAAAATAAAGATGTTAAATTAATAGTACAGTTGTCCAGAAAGAGGCACACTGACCATAACTCCTATTAACAGCAAACAAAAATACTATGCTAACTGGCATAGTTACAGTTATGCTACAATAGGAAGGTAGCATCGTTATCGAAAAGGGACAGCTCAGAAAATAACTAACCACTTAAACTGAAAAATCTTAAGCTTCGACAGGCCAAAAAAAAGTCCAGATTCCGAAACCCTATGTGTAAAAAAGGGGGACACAGGCAATCACAAGATGAAAGTTTTTATGCATAGTCATTTCATGAGGGGTTGCCACTTGGGGTGTTAGGTTTCCAGTTTTCAACAAGAAAATTTTGAATACATTAACATAGTAGGATTTAATGAACTGTATTGCAACAAAAAAAGAGAAAGCCTTTATGCACAATTATTTCAGCTCAGAAATCGGCTACACAGAGAGACATCTCCAGCATTTTAAATAGAATTTTCTGAAATCAAATGGTTGATATCACTTAAGAAAACATTTAAGTGTGGAAAATATGTATTTAAAAATATATATTTGTGTGTGTTGTTTTTAAAAGACTTCAAATACTACAATTGAAATTTACATTCTAAACACGGTTTTTTATGCTTGTTTCCATGATATTACATATACAGAAACCCTTGCATGCAAACATTGTTTTTCTTTTTGTGAAATTGTATCCTGTTACATTTCATGCGATACCTTCCGACTTTGATGTGCTTCATTTAAAAAAAAAACCATATTTATGAGCGTTCCATCTAAAATATGACTGCTGTCAGGGCATCAAGACACAGCTTTTAAACCCGAGATGATTTCAAGTAATCCTAGTTTAGGTACTCCCTTATAACACACCTGAAAAGGGTTTTTTTTTCAAGCTGATTTTCTCTTTTTTTTGATATATATCTTATAGAGTATCACAATACCTAGTTGCTTAATTTTGCCTCGGAAACTGCCTACTTTTGCTTTGTATTGGTCATACGTAACGTGAACTTACAGGTATAGCGGTTATTGCGTAGATCAGCATAAAGTACCACACCAGGAGGGCTACGACATCCCCCCGAGAATTGAATGACCCCCCAAAGGGCAGCACCCGGTATACATTGTGACTTTCCTCTTCATTCACTTTCTTCAGAAACCTGACGTGACTTGCTAGGTAGTTGTGTGTGATGTAAGGCCTGAAACAGAAATTTAATGAATGCTTCATCACTTCAAATTTAAATGAAAGTAAAACTGTAGTTTTAACTATTTATTTAGCAAGACCTAAAACTTGCAAGTGAAATCCGAAAATAACCCATAACGAGGAAACATTAATGATCCGCCGCCAATATAAGTAGGGGAATCTACTCAGTATTTGTATTTATCTAACTAAATTCACTGTTAAAAGGTCATTATCTTTTGTTTTTATATTTGCTTAATTTGCAGACTAAACAGAAGGGTATTTGTTTTGCTATTCATAAAGTCGATGTGCATGTCGGCATTCGGCAATTTTTGAAGCTCAAACGACTTGAACAGAATGAAGATATTTAAATAGATTCAGTTTAATGAAAAGTTGTAAATAGAAAGGCAATGATTCATGGTCCAATAGAAAATTTGCTGACCAGAAAGGAAGATTATGCACAGCGTTCTATTTTTAAGTTCAAGTTGATATACGAACAGAGAGAGAGAGAGAGAATACTTCAGCCTTCCTCATGCTTACCCCTCTCTGATGTTGTTGACCAGACCTTTGACTCGCAGTTCTAGACGATGACTCGGTCGTATCTGTTTTGTCTTCTCCTCATCCATTACGTTTTACTTACATTCTGATATTATCGTTAATATCACCTCGGCAAGAACGGAGGGCCTTCAAGAAAAAAAAAATGGTGTATACTTATTCACTTAATTTAAGTAGAATTTAATTCTCTTCCTCGAAGACTGTACAGTAGTTATTACTTATAAATAGAATGTGCTTAATGTAGTTACTACATGTAGTACTTGTACTGTGTTAGCATGGTTAGATACAATCATGGAACAAAAGAGTTCAATGCTTCGCTGATCTGGACCAAAAGAAACTCCAATAGTTTACACGTTTCCTTACAATTTGATCAGTATGTTGCCCGCCGGTAATTTAATGCAGATGGCAATAAATGCTTCAGAAATGATATAGGGACTTGATCAGACACATTCATAGATATCTAACCTCCGACTTCACACTCAAACATTTAACAAGTTATTCTAATTATAATGCATATTGCAGTTGCAAATTTTACGGTATTTAGAAGAAACTTTAAAAAAAAAAAGCCTTTATCATACCTGGAAATAAGGTCGTCTTCGTCACCATCTGGGTCAACAGGAATGTAACAAGCAAAAGGTACACACAGCTGATTAAGGAGTTTAAAACGACAATATCCGTCCTAACTAGTCATCCGTAATATACCACGACAACAGACCGTGAAAACAAGATTATAGTAATTGAGTAATAGTAATTCTGTATGTACGCAATCACTTACGTATGCAGAACAAGTAGATAATAAGGGTGAATGAATAAGTAACACCCTTTTATCCTGAACATGTACTTAAGAGTATCGGGATTTGTAATGTATTGAAGTTTCATTGTCATGATTTCTCTGAAAACAGGAGGTACGGATCTAGATTTTTTTTTACCAAGGAAAAGTCTTCACTTGTCAAAGTATTGCGTTCCGATAAAACAGCTACATCGATCGATTTGCATTTACCCAGATAAGAGTTGGAATTGAATTAGAGATCTTTCTCTAACTTTTCGGTAATTTTTTTTTATCAATACAAGAATTTCCCTCAGCAACAAAAAGTGGTGGAGGTAAAAAAAAAACGGGGGGGGGGGGGGGGGCAAGCGACATATCGATGAAAATTTTCATCTTAAAACTACAGCAAAAGCCCCCCCCCCCCCCGTTACTATGGGCCTACTTTGCCAGGTGTACTACTTCAGTTTTATCCACCAACAAATGTTCACTCTTTGCAAAGTCATCAACCTTTGGATGGAACTTAATTTAGCTCTTGGGATGTTCTCTTTTTTTTGGGGGGGGGGGGGGATCAATCTGTATTACCCACCCAAGTCACAGTGTACTTATTTCACAAACACCAGTTCATTTAAATTTTGACTTCCGTATGAAAGAGTTTCAGCATCACAAATCTTAGCTACTTTTGAACTTTTAACTCTTGAGCAAAGCAACCTCTGTAACCTCTCCCTGCCTGTAAAGTGTTAAATAATAAATCACAAGTCAGGTTCTTGGATTTTATATATATGTATAAAAGTACTTGTTTAAATATAAAATAATCACATGTTTTACAGATGAATTTTTTAATGATTCCTACATTAATTTTGTTAATGTTTACATCTCTCTAGATTCACAACTGTTGTAGACATGAAAATGATGTATAAATCACAGCTAGCTTGTACTATTACATTCTAATGATTTGAGCTTTAGGTTGAGTTCTGTGTCTGTAAGCATTTACAGCTTCTAAGGACTGTCTAATGACCTGAAACAGAAAAAAAGACACAACAAATTAAGACAATCCAGATTTTAAGAAAGTTAACTTAAAGAAAGGAGATGGGTGAACATAGCATGCAGAAAGCCTATAGCTTCAGATATATAAGAATCATGTTCAGTTTGTGAATTTAGCCTTTAGAGTAAAGTTCTCAAGTTCTCATTATTGAAGTTTATGAAATTGCGATAAACAAAACTTTTCTGAGGAAAATTTTCTCGGCAAAATTTATTCTTTTATTAAAAAAATTAATGTGGTATTCGTGGAGTTCGAACCCTAGCAATAAAAATCCTGAGTATCATTTTCTTTCGAGACTAGCACGCTAACCACAAGACTACACAAGTCCTGACGAACAGTGGCATTTAAATCATGTTTGTGATGTGACCCTTGACTTAATGGACTTCAAGTATTTCTCGAAAAGATGCGAATGTTATGTCATAAAAGTATATTTTTAAGGTATAGTGGGTCATTGCTCCATATTTTTGGTAACTAAAAAATGTATATTTTTATGCAAACTTCGAGGATTAACTTTCAAAAAGGTGGAGCGAAGACCCACTCATATCGAAAAATAGTGTTATAGTATGAGAAAATGACTCTTTTTGCCCTCTTTAGTGTGTGTCTAATATTTCACAGGCAAATAATTTCAATCTTTGAGGGATTTCTGCAAATTGTAGAGATTTTACATAAAGTATATTTTAATGTTAGACGAAATATCAAGGAAAATTTTGATATAATTGAAATTTAATTTTTCATCTTGATGTTTGTCACACTATAGGCTTATCGCATGTCATGTTCACCCATCTCCTTTAGTAGGAAATTGCTAAAGTATGGTCAGTGAAAAATAACAGCTCAAAATATATTTGTGCAAAGAATATGAGAGATAAAAAGAAGTATATGTATATAAAAATATGGGTGTTTTGAAAATTAAAGGAAAAAAATACAGTTCTTTCAGCTGTAGTACCAGCATGTTGTCAAAAACTAAGATATTTTTGTTGCAAAAATATGCTCAGTTCATCAGGTGATCACCTTTATTATCACAAGTGAGAAATAGAGGGAAATTTAGAATTATGATGACATTTCTTTTTCATTTTTTAGGGGATTGGGGGGGGGGGGGGGGGTGTGGAATCTACTGCTGTGAAAAATTTACTATGCAAGTGTATTTTTCAGACAGCATACTTATTTTATGAATCCCAACCATTTATACCAGCCATGCTTAGAATCTTATTTCACTACTCCTGATTTTACAAATATGATAACTTAACATAATGCTTCTATTTCTGCTACTGATTCTTTATCGACACCTTAAAGAATAGCATAGGTAATCATTCATAAGACTTAACTACTTCTGTGCATGGTGATATTCTGACCTACCAAAGTTTAAATGATTGAATCAATGAAATTTGCCAGAATGTTCATAATCAGACTTGAGAGAATATGTCAGAACCCCCCCCCCCCCCCCCCCAAAAAATTATTTCTCAACTAAATAATGGCTTTAGTAAATTATTCTCTAAATTTTAGTTCACCTGAGCTGAAAGCTCAATTGAGCTTTTCTGATCACCTGTTGTCCGTCGTCCGTCTGTCCGTCCGTCTGTAAACTTTTCACATTTTCAACTTCTTCTCAAGAACCACTATGCCAATTTTAACAAAAATTGGTACAAAGCATCCTTAGGTGAAGGAGAGTTTAAATTATTAAAAATGAAGGATCAGGCCCCTTTCAAAGGGGAGATAATCAAGAAAAGACAAAAAATGGGTGGGGTCATTAAAAAATCTTCTTCTCAAGAACCACTGGGCCAGAAAAGCTGAAACTTATATGGAAGCATCCTGGGGTAGTGAAGATTCTAAATTGTTCAAATCATGACCCCCGGGGGTAGGGCGGGGCCACAATAGGGATTCCAAGTTTTACAATGAAATATATAAGAAAAATCTTTAAAAAAAAATCTTCTTCTCAAGAACCACTGGGCCAGAAAAGCTGAAACTTATATGGAAGCATCCTGGGGTAGTGAAGATTCTAAATTGTTCAAATCATGACCCCCGGGGGTAGGGTGGGGCCACAATAGGGATTCCAAGTTTTACAATGAAATATATAAGAAAAATCTTTAAAAAAAATCTTCTTCTCAAGAACCACTGGGCCAGAAAAGCTGAAACTTATATGGAAGCATCCTGGGGTAGTGTAGATTCTAAATTGTTAAAATCATGACCCCCCGGGGGTAGGGCGGGGCCACAATAGGGAATCCAAGTTTTACACTGAAATATGCAGAAAAAAATCTTATCTTTAAAAATCTTCTTCTCAAGAACCACTGGGCCAGAAAGGCTGAAACTTGTGTGAAAGCATCCTGGGGTAGTGTAGTTTCTAAATTTTTCAAATCATGACCCCCGGATGTAGGACGGGGCCACAATAGGGAATCCAAGTTTTACATTGAAATAAGTAGTAAAAATCTTTAAAAATCATCTTCTTCTCAAGAACCACTAGGCCAGAAAGTCTGAAACTTATGTGAAAGCATCCTGGGGTAGTGTAGTTTCTAAATTTTTCAAATCATGCCCCCCGGATGTAGGACAGGGCCACAATAGGGAATCCAATTTTTACATTTACATTGAAATATATAGTAAAAATCTTTAAAAATCTTCTTCTCAAGAACCACTGGGTAAGAAAGGCTGAAACTTAAGTGGCAGCATCCTGGGGTAGTGTAGATTCTAAATTGTTCGAATCATGACCCCTGGGGGTAGGGTGGGGCCACAAAAGGAAATCCAATTTTCACATTGAAATATGTAGTTAATTTTTTAAAAAATCTTCTCAAGAACCACTGGGCCAGAAAAGCTGAATCTTAAGTGGAAGCATCCTGGAGTAGTGTAGATTCTAATTGTTCAAATCATGACTCCTTAGGGTAGGGTGGGGCCACAATAAGTACTACAAGGGGGGAAATCAGGTGAAAAACAGCAAGGTCAAAGTTATTCAGGTGAGCACTGTGGCCTATGGGCCTCTTGTTTAAGAAAGAGTATCCTCAGTAGGTGAATGTAGTATTAGATGTTGACCTTTCTTGTGTCCTGTGGCAGAACTATCCCATCATTCCACACTCTCGAGGCAGCGTAAAATGAGGAGCTCTCCATGTTGACTTTTTGTGAGATGCTAGACATATCCAAATCTTTCCCTTTCTGCAAAAATAAATTTTTCTTTGACTGATTTTACCATTCATACATGTATAGGCGTCAGAAGCAAATTAAAAGTTGGGGTGGGCTAAACCAACAAAAAATGTTTGGGGGGCTAAGCCCCAATGTTCGATGCCTATATGTCTATCTTCGCAAAAAAAGGTGGAGGGCTAAGCCCCCCTAGCCCCCAACCCCACCCCACACCATCATGGTTCTGACGCCTATGCATCTATGGGGAAAGGGAGTCAAGATTTCTTAAATGTTAAATTTACTGTGGTCTTCATCTCGCCAGAAACATAGATATGAATTGAATAAAACAAAACCTTACTTTAACTGGATGATATCAATTTCCAATATTTGATTATCATTTCAAATACATATAGAAACTATTTCTTGATAATTACAACAGAGTGAGCTTCCTCTATCAAGTCTTGTGTAAGTTTATCAGGATTCTCCATGCAGACAACAGCATTAGGCCAGCAAAACAGAAAGCTGGGACTCATAGATCTGTTTGCCTGTGAAGTAAACAATGACATTTAAAGGAAGCATTAAAGTCAACTATACATACAATGGAAAACTTTTTAGAAGAATCAGATCTGATTTAGTCCTGTTTCTGCAAAGCAAAGAAAATGATAGGCCCCAATTCTTTCTACAAATGTGTGTTAATAATGAATAGCACTTGCTTTTTTAATCACTTTTAAATTGATTTACTCCACTGGGCAAACTGTATCTCTTCACCTACCATGACATAACTTGTTGGTCCAATAGCATTGCCAATGATGAAAGATATAATAGGAACATTTGCACAGCTAATTGCAGATAACATTTTGGCATGGGCCCTCAGCTGATTACCATACATTTCACCTGCAATAAAAGTAATATACTTCTGTTAAAACTATAATTTATTTCAAAGACATTCAAGTTCAAATATATCTTTTATTTTAGCACTTTGCTGATTTAACTGAATATAAGACTGACTGATTACTGTACATATAAAACCTTTGTAGATAGCTGCAATTAAAATGTATATCAGTTGTTTAAATTTTACGTCTTGGTGATGATAAAATATTTAATCAACTTCAGTTCTAGCACCAGCGCATGTACCAAATAGAAGATTGAAATCCACACTAAGTTAAATTACAGATTACAGGATTTTTAACAAAGTTTCACCTGTGGTTTGATTGTCAGATTTTTCCTGAGTATTCTGTAGAAATATCATTGGTATGTCTCGTTCACAACACAGCTGAACAAAGTGAGCTCCCTTGTCTGCACAATGCTCAAAGAGTGGACCATTGTTTCCCACAATTCCAACAAGACACCTAGTTAATTTTTTTTTTTTAAATTACAAACTCTGAATGTATCTACAGTTAAAGTTTACGGATTAATCTCCCTTGATAAAAGACATCATAGAACAATTCTTTTAGTCTCTACTGTTTACTACAGTAAAACTTGGTTATGAAGAACTCACTTATAAGGAAGTCTTGGCTTTATAAAACCCTTGGAAGATTTTTAACTGTTTTTTTATACAGATATAAAGAATATAAGTTACAAGGAAACCAGAGGTCCCACTGACTTCCTTATCACCAAGTTTTATTGTATAGTTAACAAAAATTGCTAAAAAGCTTTCAGATGGAAAGTATGGAGTGTATTTCAAGATCAGGGGGAAAAAAAATAAAACTTCTAGATTTATATTTATTTCCTAAATAATTTTAAAATATTTTGCTTTTTTTTTTTTTTAAAGAGCTGAAATTAATAATTCTAAAATGAATTCAAAGATGAATTATGCATCTATGTTTGTGTATAGGTTGGTCGATGATCCTAAATAACCATTAAGAAGTGAGTTACCCATGAATATAACCAAATCCAGTGACAAGTGAAGGACCAAACATTTTCTTAAACTCGCTAAATCTGCTTCCATCAGTGATTCTTGAAATGATCTGCAAAACAACAATATTATTTATAAATATTCAAATAAAAAAAAAATGCAGAATTTTGACAATTAGAATGGAAAATCCCAAGACAACAACACACATCCTAATTACTGTGTTCTTTAACCCCCCACCCCCAAAAATGAATCTTACAATCATTGGAACTAATTTAGGTGATTTTTATATTAAAGTATTCCCTTGTATCACTTATCACCTTAGCAAATTTTTTGTTTTCCTCATGTATTCTGTAAAATTTTGTACTCATCCTAAAGTCTAGGAGGATGACTGATTTTTTCCAGTTTGTATGTGTGTGTGTGTGTGTGTGTGTGTGTGTGTTTGAAGAACAATATACTTGGTCTAGAAGATAGGAACAAACCGTGCCAAAATAAAGTGTTTCATATTATCCATATTAAATCAATCCTTTACTACACTGTTTCAGTATTAAGTAAGTTTCTTTCTTTTTTATAAAAAAAGATGTAAATGCAGTGCAGATTTCATCATCACAAACCTCAGCCATATTTTACAATCCTCTCCCATTCTGGCCATGGTTGAATAAGACAAGAAGATTTTGTAGCTCAAAATAAAATATTTATCAATGCGAGTGAAGCATACTCGGAAAATAATCTTTGATGGGACCTTTCATTATCCAGTAGCAGTTTACGTAACACTTGTTGTTTATCGTTAAATTCAATTGCAATATAAACAATTATTATTCTCATTGGTTTATAACAAGACATCACACATAAGGCATGATTATTCAAAATTATGATACTTTATGCGATCAAGCAGATGTGATGTGATCGAGCAGACTCTGGACCGTGGCTTGAGAAGATATTCGATTTAAGAATCATAGATTTACTGGCTATGATGGTCCACAATTCTATTACTTGTTACCTGGTAAATATTAATGTTATTTTCTGGAGAAATAAGGCCTGGAATGTCATCTGCATCATACAGTGGTGGATCGGAATCAGACGTACATGAACTATGGGAGGGGAGTATTTCTGCAATGTTTCGTCCCATTTCAAAGGCCTCAGGTTCATCCTTTGCAAAATAGTCTGTACAGCCACTCACACTGTCAGAGAGCAACAACAGTATGATACACAAAAATATAAATCTGTCTCACAGGGGTTAAGCCCTTTCTGACCCCAAACTCTTCGTACTCATAATTAAGAAAGGTGTTGAACTCTGATCAAGATACTAAATTACCGTACCGCATTACATCAAAAGCCTAAAAAAATTTAAAAAATCTTTTTAAAAGGCATAATCTACAGGTCACCTTTCATAATGTAATTTCTTAACTTCATGCGTGCCAAATTTTAAGTCACAGGTTCTTAAAATAGCAAAGTTATTTTATATCATTCCTGAAATTACTGGTCCAGGGCACCCAAAAGTTTTCCCTACTGACAGCAGCAAAATTATGAAAACTGGGAAAGATTTTGCATCTACATGTATTACCTAATTAAAATTACACATGTAAGATATGCTACTTAAGCCCTCATACTTAACTATAGTTCTCTAGGGTCATTTATTCCACAACATCGACTACAGACAAGATCAGCCATTTTTTGATGATACAAAGCCTATGATCTGATTAGATGGCTGAGAATATCAATGAAATCTAGTTTAAACATTAGCTATGAAAATGGCCAATCTTGTCGTAATTTTGCTGCTGTCAGAGGTGATAACCCATTGGGTGCCCTGGACCACTAAATGTCTGAGTAAAAATAAACTGGTGAAATCAAGTAAATGATGATGTATATCTTTGCTATTTTAAGGACCAGTGACTTAAATTGGAATTCAGCATGGATGAAGTTAAAACTCTATGTAAGGCAACCTATAGATTATGCGTTTAAAACATTTTTTCGATTTTTTTTTTTTTAGTGTTTGATGTGACAGGGTAATTTTGTATCTACCATAGCTCAGGATTAGAATTCCTTTCTTTAATTATGGGTATGAAGAGTTTGAGGTCAAAACAGGCATAGCCCCTATGATCTGTGCAGATTTGGTTTATATTTTCACAACCAAAAAAGGTCCATAAATAGAGCACAAGAGTCCTAAAATGTGAAATACATCTGTATGCAGAAAGGTAAAGCATATTTCAAAAATAGAACCCTTCAGAATTACCCCTTTCTTTACCTCAAGTGTACAGCATACAATACCATACCTGCAGTGTAGTGTAGCCCCTCCTAGTTCTTCTGCACTGATAACTTCTCCAGTTGCAGCCTTGACTAGTGGAGGACCACCAAGGAAAATAGTGCCATGTTTGTGAATCATCACAACTTCGTCTGCCATTGTAGGTATGTATGCTCCCCCAGCTGTGCAATTTCCACAAACTATTGCCAACTAAATATTACAAAATCATTTCAGTAATGATGCAAAAAAAAACCTATTGATTACTCAGTATGAAATACAAACTTCAACCCAGAAAATGAGTCCTTTGACTTACTTGAGGTATTCCTTGTGAAGACATTACTGCTTCATTATAAAATGTTCTTCCCCCTGGTAAAAAAATTTCTGACTGGAAAACAAACAATGCATTTATATGAATACTGGTAATTCTTTTCCCATCTATTTTATTTTATACCCAGCATCATATTCTCTTAGCATTTCAAATGATAGACATCTATTCAGTGATTTTTTTTTCTCCAGTAACTAATTTACAACTAAAAACTTGATTTACCTGTAGAGGTAGGAATGCTCCACCTGACTCAACTACATAATAGGTAGGTAGATGATTTTGCTCTGCTATTTCCTGTGCTCGTAATTGCTTCTTAAGAGCAACAGGATATATTGTTCCTCCTTTTACAGTAGCATCATTGGCTATGATCATACACAATTTTCCATGAATTCTGCCAATACCTAAAATATATTGAGAGTACAGGCCTAAAAATTGAGTAAAAGTATCTTATTTCTTGAAGACCTTAATTTTTTTTTTAATCAATATTAGAGAATGATTTTTGCAATTCAGCATATAACGCCGCGATATTTTGACAGGTTATGTTTCATACCAGTTATTATTCCTGCACGAGGAACATCCCCATAAGGCATCCCCAGTCCTGCTGACAATGCCAATTCTAGAAAATCGTTTACATCATCTAGAAGCAAACGGAGTCTGTCTGTAACTAGCAATTTCTTTTGTTTCACAGTATGTCTTTCAACTGCTTTTTCTCCGCCTCCCGATTTTGCAAGATCAACATGTTTAGAATATTGTTCTAACAGCAACTTGTACTTGTTCCTGTTTCTTTCTGTATCATCCACATCAAGAGTGTTGTCCTCAATAATTTTGAAACTACTTTTAAACTTCTGAGAGCCGCTTAATGTTGTTACAGAAGCGTTTTGTGTCGTCTCAGATGTAACACTGAGAACAAATCTTTTTACAAATTTCAAATGAGAAATACGGATTGGTTTTAGCATTTTGAGACTGATATTCTCCAAATTTTACATTCCTAGAATCTGACAAACAGTTTTGCTCAAAGCTGACAGTTTGGGTTTGGACTTTGGTTTACTTTCACTTTGTCAGATTTAATAGATAAGTCGAACTGTGTATGTATTGTTTTAATCTATAAATTAAATATTTCTATATTTTTTATAGTTCAATATACAATTGTTTGTTTTGTTCTGTTTATTGTTATTTATGACTATGATTTCGGACATTGTTCATCTTTATGCTCCACTGTTGGCCCAAATTGGTTGAATAAATATTCTATTCTATTCTATAAAAGAAAATATTTTATATCTTATCTTGGAACAGAAAAGTAAAACCTGGATAAGAACCTGGATAAGAATTATGCCTAAAATAACTGCGTGCCTTCCTATCACACTTTTTTTCTAGAAATATTATATGAACGACTTGTTAAAAAAAAAAACAAGCACAGGGTGCAATCATTTAAACGCTTCAAAATACGATGTATTTCCATTATTGGTTTAAACTGCAGTTTAACATCGAATAATAGCACTAGAAATTTTTACAAAAAAGATAGTAAGTAAATTGATGCGAATATGTTTTATATATTTAGGTTATTGGTTTATATCTTGGTCATAAATAGTAACAGTTTGTTAGCATTGTGTTTAATAATATATTAGTCGTAATTTGACCAGCTGGTTTGGCAGTTAGAAGTTGTATTTTTTTTCAGAAATAAATATATTTTCACATGCTCTTGTATAGTACTTAGAATATCTACCTCTGTCACATTTGTCATCAGAAGTAAAAAGACCCCATTCACTCAGTGGAGACAGTGACAATACAATAATATTGAACCACAGTTTTTTTTTCTTATTGTAAGCAGAGACATATAAAAACCATATGTCTCTGTTGTAAGTTGCAAACTAGACATTTTGGATTACTTGATATGCATACCTAAATTTTACCACAGAACAGGTTTTCGTCACAGTTAAAATAGGCCAACATGCTATTTATAGCAAGTGCTGCTCTAGTTAGAAAAATCTAACTGTGTCTCGGGACAAGCCCTCATCACAGTTAGAATACGTCCCATATACTTGCAATGTAGCAAATCGGAGCGGATCCAATCATAAATGATTTTGAAGAATACGTCGAAAGGAGTTGCACTGAAAATAACTACCAAATTAATCATAACAAACCTTTTTGAGATTGTATTTTTATTTATTTTTAACCTAAAAAATAATCCATATAAATACGAAAATTCAACTCATTTTCTCAACGTTTTTTCCTCGCTTCAAATTGAACGCCATGTTGTCATTCAGAACTCTCTGGATTGTTCATAGAAAATGCACAGAGTTCGAGTTATCACCCTGTTTATTTTGCTACATTGCCAATACACGGAACAAATTCTATAGTTAAACCAGGTCAATATCATTTTAACAATATGGATAGAACGTTTTATCTAGTGTTGCTCCCACTGCATGCTCTTAAAGCAGCACCTGAGTGAAGAGAAAAATTCGGAGTGCAAATATACTGTTCTTCCATAACAGTGGTACTGCTCTTTGGCTCACATTCTTGCAGTAACCAAAGAAAAAATCAAAATTAAAAAATGTAACTTGTCATGCATTTATGAATCGAATTTGCAGAAAGACAGTAGATTAGATCAGAGACATATATGTCTCTGATTAGTTGCTCTTTGTTAAATATTTGCCTTTTTTAGACTTCTTTATGGAAATGCAACTAACAGATATTATCATCACAGTCTAGGCCTTCAGAATCTCTCGTGTGGTTTAAAGAGGCAGATCTAAGTTTTGATGAATATTGGTACATTGTATTCAATAATAAATTATACATAGACACACTCAATGCCAACATATTCTTAATCAATAAGGTAGTATATTTGAGCTGATTCCCTCCTCAGTGACTTAAATTGAACAAAATAATCAACACTGCACTGAAATAAGTGCTAAATTAATCATAAAGAATCTTCTAAGAGTTCATGTGCCTCTTAGCAAAAATAATATTTTTATAAGGGAAAAGTACAGTATTATGTGTCATATGGTGAAACTGATAGAGCAAAGACAGTTATCTTTTTCATCAATTATAAATTCTACACCTCTCAAAGGATAGATTAGCCATTTATTTTGTATACCGCTAAAATAATGACGTCATGGTCTTTAGTAACTTCCATCGCTTGCATTTTGTGAGTCTCATAATGTATTTTTTCATACAGATTTTCATGACCTACATAAATCATAGCTCTGTTAGTGCATTATTTTTTATTATTAAATGTCCCATATCTCTGGAAATTTGCTATTTTTTAGTGAGTTCTCTGACACTTTAAAAACAAAATCAGAAAAATGTGAGACATTCTAATGAATGTATTGATGAAAGAATGGCAAACAAAGGCGTGTTTTATTAAGATTCATATGCCAGTGAACAAAGAGAAGAGGGGCATATCGTTTCCTTTGGCTAGCAAAGATGCCAGTTTTGTGGCATAGGGATTTCATGAAATATGTGGAGATGACAAACAGTATTTGAGCTCAGAAGTCCATTAAACTTTACAAAATAGGAGCAGAGCAAACACAGACCTCTAAGACATCAGAGGTGGGATCAGGTGCCATGGAGGAGTGAGCATCCCCTGACAACCGGTCACACCATAAAATTCTTGTATTTCTTTTGTAATCATTTACAGCACAAAATGTTGATTAATTTGTGGATTTTAGAAAATGTATGCAGAAAATTATTATTGTAAGCAAACCTGCAACATGTCTAATATGAGACAATTTTGCATCAGGTATGATTTGTTTTGTGTATAGCAAAATGGTAATACCTAAATCTTTTTTATGAATATTTGTGATCAGATGCAGTCTTTCATGTTTTCTGTATGGAAACTAATGCAGTAAGAATTTGTCTCTCAGGGATAAAATGGCGGCGGGAATGGATGTTCGAGACATTTTGGAATTAGAAGGCCCAGAACAACAATTTATCACAAAAGATGCTTTGATGAATGATAAAAAGGTACACATATGTAATTTTGACTAATTGGTATGGTACATAGATTAAGAATGTTTGCCTGCTCTTATAATTGTGGCATTGAGCTATTTTAAAAAGTTCTTCATAGTAAAAAGTTACATGTCTTCATTTATTTTTTGTTCAGTAGAGCCAGCAAATTGAATTTATTTCTTATTAATTTTGACATCAATAGTAAAATTTAGGTTTAATTTGAAACATTTGAGATACATTATTAATTTCCTTTTGAATTTAAATTATATTTTCTCTTGGTAAAATTTATGTGTATTATATCTTACAGAAAAAAGTAGCCAGGAAATCTGACCTTTCATTCAAGCGGCCAGAGGGCATGCATAGAGAGCTATGGGGACTTCTCTGGACAGATAACAAGTATTTCTAAGACTTGTTATAGTTGTTCTTAAATTCTTAATTAGGATTTCAAGATGTCAACAATATTTGTGAGATCTTTAATTTGTTATTTCAGGGTTTATTTCAAGGTTCTTTCTTTAGTGTTTCATTCTTATTCTTAGGTGTTAGGTCAAGACAGCACTGAAACAATTTAAACTTTTATATGTGACACTGTAGATTTATGGAATATTTCAGAGATGCACCTCCTATCATACCGACTGATACAAACCAGGGTTATAAGCAAATGAAGGCAAAAATAGGTAGCAGTAAAGTGCGGCCATGGAAATGGATGCCTTTTACAAACCCAGCAAGAAAGGTCAGCTAAAAGTTTTTCTTATTCCCCTGATTTTCCACTTTAAATAAGTTTTCCAATTCTAGAATTTTTATTTTTAGAACAATGTATTGAAAATTTGTTCAGATGTGGTTTACATCTATTATATAGCAAGTTTACAAAAATTGTGAAAGAGAGTGTTTTCTTTGACTTGCAACAAATACATTTAGATTCTAGGAGATTTTTATGACCCGCCATGAATATGGCCGGGGCATATAGTGTTTGTCATGTCCGTCTTCCATCCTTCCGTCCTTCTGTCCTTCCATCCTTCTGTCTGTCCTTCCGTCACACTTTGCGTTTAGCTCTGTTCAAAGCTCAGTTTCAAAGAAACTATCCAAGATATTTTTATCAAACTTCATATGCTGATAGATATTGATGAGGGCTATGCAACTGCATCAACATTTTTTGACCTTGATTTTTCCTTTGACCTTGACCTCACTTTTCTTAAATTAGTGTTTAGCTCAGTTTTAAAGATACCATTCAAGATAGTGTAATCAAACTTCATATGTTGATACATACTGATGTAAGCTATTCAACTGCATCAACATTTTTTGTCCTTGACCTTTCTTTTGACCTTGACCTCACTTTTCTTAAATTACTGTTTAGCTCAGTTTTAATGAAACAATTCAAGATATTTTTAACAAACTTCATATGCTGATACATACTGATGAGAGCTATTCAACTGCATCAATATTTTTCACCTTGACCTTTCCTTTGACCTTGACCTCACTTTTCTTAAATAAATTTTTAGCTCAGTTTTAAAGATACCATTCAAGATAGTGTTATCAAACTTCATATGCTGATACATACTGAAGAGAGCTATTCAACTGCATCAACATTTTTTGACCTTGACCTCACTTTGCTTAAATTAGCGTCAAACTTCATATGCTGATACATACTGATGAGAGCTATTCAACTGCATCAATATTTTTTGACCTTGACGTTTCCTTTGACCTTAACCTCACTTTTCTTAAATTAGTGTTTAGCTCAGTTTTAAAGAAACCATTCATAATATTTTTTTCAAACTTCACATGCTAATACATACTGATGTAACCTTTTCAACTGCATCAACAATTTTTGACCTTGACCTTTCCTTTGACCTTGACCTCACTTTTCTTAAATTAGCATCAAACTTCATATGCTGATACATACTGATGTAAGCTATTCAACTGCATCAATATTTTTTTTCACCTTGACCTTTCCTTTGACCTTGACCTCACTTTTCTCAATTTGTGTTAAAATGTTGCATTACTAATATACCCTTGGCGGGGCATTCATGTCCTATGGACATATTTCTAGTTATTTGGAGGATGGCGGGAGGGGGAAACTCAGTTATGGTGGAGATTAATTGTATCTGATTATTCTTGTTTAAGTAACCTATATTGATATACAATATTTCATTATTTTAGGATGGTGCAGTGTTTTATCATTGGAGGAGACTTGCAGATGAAGGAAAAGATTACCCATTTGCAAGATTTAACAAGGTTTGTTAATAAATCTAGAGAAATTTGAATAAGCTAAGAAAATGCCAATTGTTGGACAAAGAAGAAAGTGAATACTGTATAGGGGATTAATTTCACGGGTTGTAATTTTCACGTTTTTCTCTCCTCGGACACGATCGCGGTTTGTTGAATTCGCGGAATCAGTGTATAACAAAAGTTCACTCCCTTGTCTTTATCCGTGTAATCCATAGCTAGTATAGCAAGAACGAAATTTATCGGCGTTATGTATTCACTTCACGAACAGGGTAGGTTTATATAAAATTATTAGATTTAGTAGTTAATTGATTATTAATAAAAACAAGTGCCATTATTAAAATTTTTTGACTATAAACATCAAATGACTTTCCTATATGCTTTTACGGTGAGTGCATGTGTACACATCTTTCCGAAGGTATACACATCGCATCGAGAGAAAAAAAAAACACTGGACGCTAATAAATGTTTTAATGTAGGTGGACATAATAATATCCTTCCAGCAAGTTCGAAAGTTATTCGAATGATATTCTTTTAACCAAAATTTCCATAAAAACTAATACGCATAATGCTAATGCAGGTAACAATTACAAGTGGTAACGTTATCCACGAATAATCAAAACCCATGACCCATGTGTTTTGATTGATGAAACGTATCTATCAAAACAGCTTTTTAACGATAAATACAGGTTATAAGCTGCTTATTTGAATTAAAGTATAGCGTGATAATTAAGATAATTGGATAACAAGTACTACTCGTAATTACTGAATGACCATGTATTGAACGTACATGTTTATATAACTATCATAGTCTATTCTCAAATTTCCAAATAAAACATTAAGGTTTAAATATTTAAAACTTATTCACCGTTTCTTGAATTCACGGATTTATTAACACCGTGAATATAGCGAATATTAACACCGCGAGTTATTTTCCCCCTATACAGTAATTAAAGTTCAATCATAATAAAGTTTTCTTTGATTTATCAGTAAACATTAATATATGTGCATGTATATTTATTGTAAATTCTAAACCATGTGCTATCATATAAATTTTGTAAATATTCTTTCATAAAAATAACATACACAACAAGAGAAGGCAAAATTGAGCATTTCCACATACATGTACTTGAATGCAATTTTCCCTTATAAATGTGTCATTGTCCAGTTTTATCAAGTCTTTTGAGTAATTCAGGTGACCTATTACCATCATTTCTGGTTTGTTGTCATCAATATACTTTAGAAGTTTTTCAGCTTTTTTTTGTTTTGAAAAATACAGTGTAATTGAGCCAGTTACAACCAACTTTGCTATGTATCATCCATTGATGAAGAGAAACAACATTTTTGAACATCATGGTTGTACATATAAATTAAAAATACATTACACATTTGAAAATCTTCTTTCCTGATTATGGAGATAAAGCAGTTTGCATGATTATAAAGAACAGCCAGTCCTTCCACAGAATTCATAAAAGTCATGTCATCTGGGCCATGGTTCAAGCTTTTTGAAGGTGGTAAATTGGTCATTGGTTGAAAATAGAACACACATTTCATAATCATTTATTCTGATGGACATCAGACAGACAAGTATTTGCATGATTATAGTGAGCAGCTACTCTTTGAAAGGCTGGAAACACCACACTGTACATAAATACTATATAGTGTTTATAATTTTTTTGGTGTTGATTCTGTATAAATGGGAGATGTTGGCTTCAGGCACTTTGATCTTTAATGTTCTATATAAACATTCCATTTTAACAGTAAAACAAGATGATTTATGATATTTTATAGGCTGTTGACGTACCAGTGTATTCTGATCTTGATATATGATATTTTATAGGCTGTAGACATACCAGTATATTCTGATCTTGATATATGATATTTTATAGGCTGTTGACATACCAGTATACTCTGATCTTGATATATGATATTTTATAGGCTGTAGACATACCAGTATATTCTGATCTTGATATATGATATTTTATGGGCTGTAGATATACCAGTGTATTCTGATCTTGATATATGATATTTTATAGGCTGTAGACATACCATTATATTCTGATCTTGATATATGATATTTTATAGGCTGTTGACATACCAGTATATTCTGATCTTGATATATGATATTTTATAGGCTGTAGACATACCAGTATATTCTGATCTTGATATATGATAATTTATAGGCTGTTGACATACCATTATATTCTGATCTTGATATATGATATTTTATAGGCTGTAGACGTACCATTATATTCTGATCTTGATATATGATATTTTATAGGCTGTAGACATACCAGTATATTCTGATCTTGATATATGATATTTTATAGGCTGTAGATATATCAGTATATTCTGATCTTGATATATGATATTTTATAGGCTGTAGACATACCAGTATATTCTGATCTTGATATATGATATTTTATAGGCTGTTGACATACCAGTATATTCTGATCTTGATATATGATATTTTATAGGCTGTAGACGTACCAGTATATTCTGATCTTGATATATGATATTTTATAGGCTGTTGACATACCAGTATATTCTGATCTTGATATATGATATTTAATAGGCTGTTGTCATACCAGTATATTCTGATCTTGATATATGATATTTTATAGGCTGTAGACGTACCAGTATATTCTGATCTTGATATATGATAATTTATAGGCTGTTGACATACCATTATATTCTGATCTTGATATATGATATTTTATAGGCTGTAGACGTACCAGTATATTCTGATCTTGATATATGATATTTTATAGGTTGTAGACATACCAGTATATTCTGATCTTGATATATGATATTTTATAGGCTGTAGATATACCAGTATATTCTGATCTTGATATATGATATTTTATAGGCTGTAGACATACCAGTATACTCTGATCTTGATATATGATATTTTATAGGCTGTAGACATACCAGTATATTCTGATCTTGATATATGATATTTTATAGGCTGTAGATATACCAGTATATTCTGATCTTGATATATGATATTTTATAGGCTGTAGACATACCAGTATATTCTGATCTTGATATATGATATTTTATAGGCTGTTGACATACCAGTATATTCTAATCTTGATATATGATATTTTATAGGCTGTTGACATACCAGTATACTCTGATCTTGATATATGATATTTTATAGGCTGTAGACATACCAGTATATTCTGATCTTGATATATGATATTTTATAGGCTGAAGACATACCAGTTTATTCTGATCTTGATATATGATATTTTATAGGCTGTAGACATACCAGTGTATTCAGATCTTGAGTATCAGCAGCATCTTCATGATGACAACTGGACAAGACAGGAAACCGATTTTCTGTTTGATCTGTGTAAACGATTCGACTTGCGTTTTATTGTAATTCATGATCGCTGGGACAGGGATAAATTCCCAAACAGAAGTGTGGAGGACATCAAAGAGAGATACTATTGTATCTGTAATACTCTAACAAAAGTAAGAATGTTGAACGATAAATCCTGTATATCAGTACTTAATGCATATTTTTTTTATCTATCCATCTTAAATAGTACACATTGATTGATTTTGGATGTTTTATGATCAACATATGGTTTATTATTCAATTTGACGATTTTTGAATGATAGATTTCTTACAGCAGAATATACAGGAGTAGATATTTTACAGTGTGAACTTTATATTCTGTAAAATTATAGTTTTCCAAGACATATATGAATGTACAAGAACTTGGTTATTTTTTCCTCTAATTTACAGGTCAGAGCACCACAAGGCTCAGAGCCAAAAATCCGAGCTTTTGATGCAGAGCATGAAAGAAAAAGAAAACAGCAGCTGGTGAAGCTATTTGACAGAACTCCTGAGCAGGTCTGTCTCATTGTTGAGTTAGAATTCTGGGTGATTATTCAATAAATCTTACAAAGTGCTCTTTCTTCATAACAGTAATGTAATTTAATAAAAATGTTTCTGAGATTTAGATCATGCATAAAATTCATTCATTTTGTGGTGTGCATATTTCAACAACTTAAGGAAGACATGACTACAGATCAGTTGACATGTACAAATATGTACGGTAAAATTCTCATATAAGAAACTTGGATATATGGAAATCTTGGTTATAGTGAAGTTGTATCTTTCACTATCTCACGTATCGTAACACTTTCTTATATTGATATAAAGAAATTGGGTTATAACTTAAAAGGAACTAAAAGTTCATTTCCCTAGGACTTCCTTAAAATCATGTTTTACTGTACATGTTTTGATGCTTGTGGTGATAAAATTTTAAATAAAATTTGCCAGGTGGAAGAGGAGGAACATTTAATTGCCGAGTTGAAGAAGATCGAACTGAGGAAAAAAGAGCGGGAAAAGAAAACTCAAGATCTGCAAAAACTAATCACAGCAGCCGACAGTAACTTTGATAGCAGACGGTCAGAGAAAAAACAGACCAAGAAAAAGATTCACATGCCTCATCAAAAGATAAATCCAACAGTGGTAAGGTTATGATAAACACAAAGGAAAATTTGTTCATCATAACACTTAAACTGGTTCATCACAAATTGTTCTATAAACTAGCCTTTCTTCACTTACATGTACGTGAAATTATCTATTTCTAGAACTTTGAGACAGAATTTCAAACACCTTACAAACAAACTGGTATCTTATATGCATATGATAAACAAGATATGTATGTGAAACACTGATGCCCCATAGTCAGCTCTTAGTCAAGGTGAAAGCTTTTCAAAAGTAGATCAAACTCCAAGGTTAAGGTCATGAGGTAAAAAAATAATGGTACTGAAAGAAAAATCTTGTCACAAGGAATGCACATGTGTAATATATGAAAGCTCTAGCACCAAATGTTCAGAAGTTATGATCAAGGATAGAAGTTTCTCAAATGTAGTCAAACTCCAAGATCAAGGTCATGAGGCCAAAAATGTTGGTACACAATGAAAGTTCTTGTGACAAGAAATACATGTGAAATATGAAAGCCCTAGCTCCAATCATTTGGAAGTTATGGGCATGGTTAAAGTTGGTTAAAGGTTATCAAAAATAGGTCAAACTTGAAGATCAAGGTCATGAGGTTATGTAATGTTGGAAGCCAAATAAAGGCCTTGTCACAAGAACTACACATGTGAAATTTCACACTGGATTGCCATTATTTTACTAACCAATTGATCGAAAATGGTGAAAATTGCCATTACTAGTGAAGCAATCACAGATCTTTTATAAATAGTTTACATATAGGATATAGAGATAAAGGAATCTATATGTAATTACTACAGTCAAATACCAGGAAGACATGATTACCTAGTGTGTGTAAAAGAGCAATGCAACTGAAGACTAGTATTTAATACTTGTTTACATATTTTAGGCTACACCAGAGCCAAGTGGAATTAAATTTGCTGACTTTAAAACGTCAGGAGTGTCTCTGCGAAGCCAAAGGGTAATTTTTATTTTTTAAAGCACTATTTAAAACACTTGGATTTGCCAATATTTTTAATTTATTCACTGCAGCAAAATCTCAAGTTTATTCAGTTTATTAATATTTGTGACATTCCAAAGATATATGAGATAATGCAAACAAATCATCACTTTTTTATCACCTGAATCCCAATTCAGACGTGACCAATAAAGAGGCAGTTTAAATATTTTGTAGAAGTTTTCTTTAGATATCTTAAATTTAAAAACTACTTTTTTTATTATGATCCTTAACCAGGGTCATTTTCAGAACAAAATTGGCATTGTGAGGGTTTGTCTTATGAAAAAAATGTCTTTTTCAGATGAAATTACCAGCATCAATTGGACAAAAGAAGATGAAAGCAATTGAACAAGTTCTGGAAGAGCTTGGTATAGGTAATCCTCCTTGAATTTTTAATAACCTGAAGGAACTATTAAAGAGATATAAATTCTATCAGAGAAAATTGACAATGCATAAGTGTGATATGTAGGTGCTTTGGTGCAAACTTTGATTTCTGAACTATCTTTTGTAGAATACAATCCAATTCCCACAGAGGATACAGTCACTCATTTCAATGAACTTCGACAAGACATTGTTTTACTTTATGAACTGAAAATCGCCCTTGCAACATGTGATTACGAATTGGAGTCTTTGAAACACAGATTTGAAACTCTGGCACCTGGAAAGGTAAGATTTTCTTTAATGTTGAGACTGATGCAAAACTTTAAGGGTACACCATGGATTATTGTATTCATATTAATTTTTTATTTAATGTAACCAATTTCAACCAAATTTGCCACAAAGTATCCTTAGATAATGAGAATTAAAGATGATCAAAGCAAGAACCATGCCCCTTAATTATAATATTTAAGAAATTGCGAAAATGGGATGTGTTTTTAACAATTTTTCTACTAAAGAACCATAAATTGTTAATTTCCTAAGTACATGTAAGCATTCTCACGTAAATTTAAGTTTGGTTAAATTTTGGGCCTCTGGTTAGGATAGGTCCGCATTTGGTTTCTATCAAAATACATGTAATGTTAAATAGCAAAAATCTTGAAAATGTTTTTATTAAGAACTTCAACAAGATTGTCATATTTGTTATCAAACATGATCATGTAGATTCAGGGTTGTTCAATCTATGATCGTAATGGTAGGGAATGATAATTAATTTTTAAATATACTGGAATTTAAAACAAAAATCTTCTCAAGAACTGCAAGCCTCTGAGGCAACAAAATCAATATAAAATGTCTACATACATGTATTTCAAGGCATGTATCTCCATTTTTTCATGCAGAAAAACATGCATTGTGACATTCATTTCATGATTTGAGATTTTTAGAAGGCCTATTGGCTTTTTGTTTGATATTGTAGCATGAAGGTTTAAATCATTAGCCTTGTGTTTTCCAGCCTCTTCCAATTGAAACATCTATTAAATCTGAGCCAGAATCGGGGGTGCTAGGAGGAGAAACATCAGCTTCCCTTGTCAATCTCAGCATCTCCCCCGACTCCCCATCCAAACTTAAAAAGCTGTCCGAGGCTATTGATGTTGTCAGTACAAATCCCCCAGGAACTCCCAATGTAAGTGAAATCCTCAAAATTTTATGCTTTTTTTAATTATTTTAAATATACATGATTGTATTATTGAATTTTTATGACACTTTGTAATATTTCCAAAAAATTTTAAGAATCAGATATTGTTTGCAAGGTTTCCTTTTACTTATTTTTCAGTAAGTTTTTCATAAACCACTGATAAAATATATTCATGATATAGGAAGACACGTTTTTAAATTTATTCTGTGCAAATATGTTTAACCTTTTTGTTCTCATGATACCATGTATTTTCAGAGAAAACGAAAAGCAGCATTAGAGCAGGGTAATATGCTGAAGAAAATGAAACAGAAAGTATGAACTTAAACTACCCAAACAGTGGCAATGTTAGAGAGAATTTATCAACAGACTACATGTACATCCTGTGACCTCTTGTCACATCAAAATGGATAAAAGCTACCCAAACAATATGGCAACATTAGTGAGAATTTAGCAGCAGACTACATGTATATCCAGTGACCTGTTGTCTCATTAAAATGGATAATGCACTACAAAGAATCTGCTGTGTAAAAATTCCATTACATCAAAAATGCAGCCTGAGACATTAATCCATATCATTGTTAAGTGTGAATGAATACCTCAACTGACTGTCATTTGTATCAGAAGGAAATACAGTCCATTCAGTTGGCATTATAGTGTATTTCCTCATCCTCCTAGTACATGTGTACTTGTGCTGTTTTATTCAAAAACTTGTTAGGAGAATGGTTGAACTTGAAGGCAAGAATAAAACACATATAACTCGTCATAATTTTCTTTTTTAAAAAAAGTTTATGAATTTATTTGATGTGTCATTAATATATGATATAGGTTGGCATACAAGCATTTATTCAATATTTTAGTAATATCACAGTCTGGGAATGTCATATTAAAATGCTATTTGAATGCATAAAATTACAACAACAAAAAAATCTAATAATTATAAAAATATACATGTAAATACATGTACTGTAATCAGATTTACAGACATACACTAAATATGTAATTTTACCTACGAAGTTTGAGATCTATGATTCATAAAACACGTCAATGGAACTTACATACCCCCCCTCTCTCTCTCTCTCTCTCTTGAATATATACATATATTTATATAAAATAACGGCAAGGAAGTACCATTTATACATGAAATACATTTCCATATGACACAGGCAGACAGAACTTCCATTAATTTTTAAGCAAACAGGCATAATGATGCAAAGTACAATGATGCGCATTGAAGTGGTAAAATTTTTCATTTAAATGGAACGTTTTGATCTTTCTTTTAAACATTGGTTGTGACATAATAATGCCCATTTCTTTAGAAAGGAGAAAATTTTCTCACATGCGTCATTCCAATACCTGTAGACAGGTAAATAGTTTTAAATAAAATAGCCAATCAGATTGGTCATGTACATAAACACCCTGGATAAACACTTGTTCGATTGATACATGTGTTGTGATAACTTCAATAAACATGATGAATACATAAATTATGTACATATTCCTTACAACACACTTGTTTTACAGAAGCAGGGAGTCTCTCCCTCTCTCTCCTAGCTTCATAAAACCTCTATTTCAGCAAAATTGTGTTGTTAGTCACACAGAATTGGGTGAAAAACATTGCAATGAATATTGCTTTTTCTTTCTAAAGAAATGGTCGTGTCATTGTGTAACGATCGAAGCTCAATTAGAAAGACTAAAACTTTCCATTCCAACTAAGAATTTTACCACTTCAATGCACATTGTATACGTAGTATAAAGTTTGTCATGGTCAAATTCAAAGGTTATTCCATTTTTTCATATACTCTTTTATGTGATAAAGTCAATAAATAAGGAAAATAAATATAAATACACAATGTAATTAAGTACAAGAAAATAATATGAAACATGTATATTAAATATTAAAGCACATGACAACTTATGAAAATGAAGTGAAATATACACTGGAAAGGTTGTACAGTATAAAGGACCCTACTTCATGAATGTGGGTCATCACTGAAAAAGAACACAAAGCATTCTAACAATAAATAAAAATTTAGCATAACATGATAAATAGGTAAAGCACTGGTGAGAATTCTTGTTGCACTCTTCAACTGTCTGTAAAAAAAGCAATTTAACTCTGTACGGTCTGCAGCCAGTTATTATACTTTCTTATCATTCTGTTCCATTTCACTTCACATTCCCTTCTTCGTATAGTTTGTACACCAACTAAAATATACATGATTTCACTCTTTATTAATTATGTAGATAAGACATTTTAAATACATTTCTGGATCATTCCTCTGATTCTTTGCTAGACATGTGTAGTTTAATTACATCTGCTAGGAAGCTGACATAAATGTACCTGTTTGAAGACTTACATTTTTGAATTTTGTGGCCAGTCCATCTACAAACTGCTCTGCAGTTTTACCCTGAGGGACCATGGACTCTAATGGTTTTCCTGGTTTTTCCCTGGCATATTTTTCCTCCCACTCAGGGGGAATGTAGTCAGTGTTCACCTCAAGCTAAATATAAAGACACACCAACATTAAAAGACTCATCAAGATTACAGTTAAAGAAAATATTAAGAATATATAGCATACAAAATTAATTTATCTTAAGAGATTCAGAATGGATAAGAAAAACTGATACTTTTCCTAAGTGAATGAGGATGACAAAAAATCATATCTGGAGGCAAGTTAAATGCAGCCATTGTTTCAAAATGAGGTTGCTAAGTTGATGCTACTTTAATGAGCCATAACTTACCAGTTTGTTTCCAGGAATATCACCTGCTAACTCATCGTCTCTTCTGGCATCAGCTAGTCGGACATAGACTGAAGCTCCCTCAATTAAATGGAGCTATTTAAAGAAAAGAAATGAAAATTGCAACTATATCCATAATATTATATTGGTTATATTAGATGCAATAAACTCGTAATACTTGTACATGTATGTTGACCATTTTTAATTGAATAAATTCTGAACAATAGATTTGCATTTCTTTACCCCAGGAAGTCGTATTTATAACACGTTTATAACAAAGTACCCAGGACAGATGATTTTGCTTTGTTATAAGCATAATTCGTTATATTGGCTATGTTAACAATATATTTTAAAGTCATGGGGAATGAAAATCACTTCGCTGTAAGCATCAATTTATAATAAGCCTGTTTGCTATAAAAATGTTTTACTGTATAGAATGTGACCACTGCAACATTGCAGGTATCATAAATTGTGTAGCACTGGTCATATATAAATCATATAATGATTAGTCACTTACTGTTCCACTGCGGATGTTTCTCTCCATCCAGTCTTTACATGGCTCCCTGGCCAGTTGTTTGAGGAGCTGAGGAGTGGGTGAGCCATCAAACAGAGGTAACTGGAAGGTGGAGGTGTAGCAATAATTGTCCGTAAACACCTGTAGTGGGGTCCAGGCCTGCAAACAAAAGGTCAAGAGCATGTCTCAAACAATATTTGTGTGCACAAATAAGATATGGCATTATCCTATTGAAAACAACATGTATGATGTATCTGTTACATGTATTGAAGAAATGTTGGACCTGTTCCAGTAATCCGTATTTGTAGTTCTCCTTAGCAACAGTGACCTGGACTTCCTGGAGATGGATGATGACAGTAAGGTAGCGATGATAAGACCTGTTGGGGAAGTGCTGGAATACAAGATTTCACATGTAAAAAGACATACAAAATCCATCCTCAAAAAAAAAAAAAAATTGGCTAGTAACAAAACAAGATAACTAACCATTACATCTATATCATTATAGTTCCAAGATTTTTGGGGGGAAAAGACAGGAATTTACATGTACTGCAAGTTATATTTTGAGTTACAGTCTGTAGAAATAACATGTATGTTGTAATATAAAGATTTAAACATTTGAATTTTAGTTGCAAATTTTCAGGATTTGCAGAAATCACCTTGAATCCATCTCTCCACTGTGGAGAAGTGTTGGTGGATTTCAAGTCCAGAAACTCGGTGAACATCAACTTATCATACGTGGCATGTGGAGCACCCTGAAGAAAAGACACAGTATAAAGATTTCCAGCATTTCGTGACAATTCAAACTACTTTTTCAATGATTGTAGGAAATTATTGTATAATACTACCATGTAAAAAGCCCCGGGTGGATTTAAACATATGTGAGCATGTGTGAAGTGAGTCCAGGGTAAGTTTGTAGCACCATCAATAGCAACCTGTGACAAAGTCAAGAAAAAATAATCTTGAAACTTGCATATAAATCCATAATGTCATTCAAGCCCTCAAAATAATGACTAGAAATAAATTATTAAGGTATGATAATTATAATCAAAAGAAAAAAAACACAAACCTTTATTCCCTGTTTAGCACTGTATTGACTTATAAAAGTTAAATCTATATCCAGAGGCTTGTTGTCTCCCTTGGTAAGTTTATTCTGAAAAAAATGTAAGGAATATTCAACACTTCAGTTGCTTTATTATTGTTTCAATAAATATCTATATATTTTTTAAAATATTTTCTCAAAAATTTCAAAAAGAAAAAATTCTCACTCTGATGTATTCATCCAGGTTTTTATCATTGCGGTAGAAGCTCTCCTTGGCTTGGGCTATCTTGGCCACTGCATCTCTGATTTTGATGGCAGGACGCCTCATCATGGAATGGAATAGCTTACTCTCTCCATTGGATGGCAGGCACTTCATGGAGTAGTAAATCCTATCTGTGTACTTTGGCCTAGGCTGGTACAGGCCCAGTCTTAACCAATCAGCTTGTGGAACTTTGCTTTGCTATAGACAAAACATAGGTAATCAAGCATTACTAAGCTCACCTTGATGCATGTAATTTATAAGTAAGGCAAATCTTGCATCAAATTAATTCTAGTTAGTATGCATCCAAAGGATAATATCCATACAAAGTTTGGTTTTGGTAGGACATTTTGTTACCTGGGAATGGCCCTGCTCCAAACATTTTGACCTGGTCACTTATCTGAAAAATGTATGTCAGATCCAGCTACTGGAGCAAGTCTTTAGATGCATCATTCCCCTAAGTTTGGTCAAGGTAGGGCTTAAATTACTTGGGAATGTACCTACTGCAAAAACTTTAACCTTGTCACTAATCTGGAAAACGTAGGTCAGATCCAGAACCAGAAGCAAGTCTTACACTGTCCATCCCTAAATGCATCTTACAAGCTAGTTTGGTATAGGCAGGGCTAATAGTCACTGATCCAGGAAATGTAGGTCAGATCCAGCATCTAAAGCAAGTCTGGTAGTTTCCATCCCTAGATGCATTATCTCTGCATGTTTGGTTTAGGGAAGACTTATAGTTACTTGGGAATGGACCTGCTCCAAAAAACTTTTACCTGTTCACTCATTCCAAAATGTAGGTAAGATCCAACATCACAGCAAACATGGTAGTGTACATCCCTAGATGAATCATCCATGCAAGTTTGGTCTAGATAGGGCTAATAGTTCCTTGGGAATGGGTCTATTCTTAAAACTTTAACTTGTCATTCATCTGTAAAATGTTGAGCTCAAACATCTGAAGCTAGTCTTACACTGTCCATCCCTAGATGCATCATCACTCAATAGTCACTCACCTGAGAAAATATAAGTCAGATCCAGCATCTGAAGCAAGTTGGATAGTGTACATCTCTAGATGCACCATCTATACAAGTTGCGTATAGTTAAGGCTTTTAGCTACCGGTATATTGAAATGGATCTGTTCCCAAAACTTCAACTTGCTCATTCATCCGTAAAATGTTTGTTACATCCAGCATCCGAAGCAAGCCTGTTAGTGTACATCCCTAGATGCATCATATGCAAATTTGGTGTAGGTAGGGCTTACAGATACTTAGGAATGGACCTTCTCAAAAAACTTTAACATGGTCACTCATCCTCAAAATGTACATCAGATCCATGATCCAAATCAAGTCTGGTAGTGTCCATCCTAGATGCATCATCCATGCAATTTTCATCTAGGTAAAGCTTATAGTTACTTGGAAATGGACCTGCTCCAAAAACTTAAATCTGTCCACTCATCCACAAAATATAGGTCAGATCCTGCATCAATTGCAATCCTGGTAATGTCCATCCCTAGATGCATCTTCCATGCAAATTTGGTCCAGGTAGGGTTTAAAGTTACTTGGGAATGGACCCCTTTCAAAAACTTTAACCTGGTCACTCCTCTGGAAAATGCAGGTCAGATCTAGCATCTGAAGCAAGTATAATAGTGTACACCCCTAGATGCATCATTCATGCAAGTTTGCTCCAGCTAGGGCTTATAGTTACATGGAAATGGATCTGCTCCAAAACTTTTACCCAGTCACTTATTTGAAAAATGTCGGTCAGATCCAGCATCCAAAGCAAGTTTGGTAGTGTCCATCCCTAGATGCATCATCCATGCAAGTTTGGTCCAGGTAGTGTTTATAGTTACTTTGGAATGGACTTGCTTCTAAAACTTTAAAGCTAACACTGATACCAGGGATATAGCATAAGCTCATCTCAACTTCCTCGAGGTGAGCTAAAAAGTCAAAATCATAAGCATTCTCATTTAAGCTAAGAGACTACTGCTACAACCAGTTTGTGTAAATTTAAAAGAGTTACTGACTACTAAGGAATAAAACTAGAAAGTCAATGATTTTACAAAAAATTACATTAAGTACATTGAATACATTTTGACACTAGCTCTGTAGTCTTTACTAACCTCTAAGGCTTTCCCTGATGGTCCCTTAGCTACTCTGGTCAGTCTCATTAGGAGGGAGGCGCAGGGTACGTATCTGATCCCCGAGTCCCTAAGAATGGACTCAGTAAGGGGGTCTACTCCATTAGGACCCTGGCAGTACAACCTTAACTGATGGGCTCCTTCATTCAGTGACACCTAAACCAATTCATAGATTCCCAAATAACATTCCACGCCCAAAAGCAGAATCTTGTCACAAAATTTGATTGGAAAACAATACATATTTCAAAACATACTTCACAGAATTTCAAGACATATTTCATAGTATTTTTTACCCTAATCCTTAGAAGTCAATACTAAGTATTCCGTATTCTCTATTAATGTAAATGTATCGAGGGCAGTTGAAATAATATAGTTACCTGAAGCCCTGGTTTGTCTATGGTGGGTTGTCTTTCGGTCCCCGATTCCACAAACACATTCAGAGTGGCATAACCAACCACTGTTAACTGTTTGTAAAAATTGTCCACTGTGTAAACCTACATAAAGAAAATATTCCTTTTAAGAATGTTATATTTTAAATACTTAAAACTGATTTTGCAATCAAGAAGAAACATGTCCAGATGCAGTTTGTATTTTAGCTCTAAAATTGATACAATTTTTCATACCTTGAACAAGATAGTTGAAGATG